CAAAGTTTGGGATTTACTTTATGATTATTATTATTATCATTTTCCCCCACCGCAGTCAGCATGTGAAAAGCGGTGTTGTCTCTGATCCATCCTCCCACAGGCGCTCCTGCCTCTTTAGTTGGTGCAGGACGGGCACACACATCTGGTTATGAACTCAATTAAATAGGCTGGCAAGGAGTCATTTTTTTTTTTTTAAAAAAAAATATTTTATAAAATCAGGAGTTGTGCACGACAGACATCACTGATACGTTTCAAATGCTGATCTTGTCAAACCACTGAAGTATTTGGATCTGGCACAAGTTCACCAACAGCTCGATTATCCCCTGCACATGCTACACAGCATTTGCAAATCCCCTTCAGCTAGACGGTGAGTGCTTTGCACGTAAACCATATGAGAAGAGTGACACAGTCTCAGAGTTGCCTTGCTCTGTCTCTGCTGCTCTGCCTTGCATCCTGCTGCATCACGCGCTAGGACAGCTTTGATAGGACTCCTGGTCCACAGCCCAGTCTGGATATTGTGGGGTTGCCTGCTTGCCTGCGTAAATTGTCCTTTTTCCTCTAGCCCTGGGGTGGCTGATTGCGAAAGGGATGGTCCTCATCAGAAAGCCATGATTGTCTCTGCAAAGTGAACGGTAAATCAGAGGGCTGTGTCCAGCACTACCTATTACAGCAGTTTCCTCCGTCAGGGTGCAGGCTCTCACTTTACCTAGGTATCTCCTTGCTGTGGAGATCACCAGATTAGAATTTGCTCCTTCCCTAGCAAGTGGCTCCAGGCTCCTGAGGTCTCTGGATCCAGTCCCAGTTCTAGTTTTGCATCAGCTAGACTGAAATTTAATACCACAGTTTGCAAGATAGCAGCAGGTGCAACATTTTTTTTTTCTCTGCTGATTTAAACCAAGAGAGGTGAAACCTTCTACTAGATCTTCAACAACCTTACACAACTGCTGAAACGTGGACGACAGGGAGTAAGGTATTATAGGCAGGCCGGATGAAACGGGGATGTGGCTGGCCTGTTGCTGTCGTACACTGCCTCTGTCGATTGCTCAGAGACCCAAGACAGACAGCTCCTGATAAATACCAGATGGTTACTGTGAAAAAAAAAAAGAAAAAAAACATAAAAAACAACAACAAAAAAGTCCAATTCAAAACAAAAGAGGAGTCAGAATTTGTATAAAGGAGATGGAAAAAAAAAAACCAAACCAGCCAACGCTGCCTAGTCCTCTGCACAGAAAAGCTCCTTTTAGACAGCTCAGCAGAGCTGGCAGGACAGACTCTTGGGCTGCCACGCTGGCCTTCCTCACAGTAACCCCGCTGATTATGGATCTGGTGTAATAACAGAGCGAGCAAATCCCAGTCCCTCAGGACGCCCGTGTCTTTGGCTGCGTCTGTGCATCCCTGGACCCTCTGCTGGCAGCCAGGCTGATTGGCTTGTCAGCTCTCTGCAACTCGTGACTGGTGAACAAACTGTTCCCAAACAAAGCATTAGAGAGCACAGAGAAACTCTGCACAAGCTGGAAAGCTTGACCACACCACTCATCAGCGAGGGTGAGGAAGGCAACAGGGCGCTGAGCACCATTGGAGTGAGGGGCTGGACACCCTGTGGTAGCTGTGAGACAGCATCTCTGCTTCCAGTACCACTTGTGTGATCTCCATCACGTCAGATGTGCCTGTGCCTCAGCCTGTTACAGTAGGAGAGTCTCTCAGTACTAGCAGCTCAGATGAACGCCAACCATGACATGGGCTTCTTGAGGATAGATTCTATGGCTTGATCCATACGGGAGCCTGAGCTTCCTTTGCTCTTTTATTGTAAGTGTCAATGGAATGGCTGGTGCCTAGCTACAAAACCTGAGAGGATACTGAGGGTGATGGTCTTTTACAAGAGCAGATTTGCAATGCAGATAAAACAGGATAGGATGATGAATGTGAAGTTCTTGTCACTTGACCAGCTAGGGGTGTCTCTGAGCTTACAGCACTTCTCAACTGCAAATGCGGGAAGAGGGTGATGTTTGGGCACTGGCCACCTCTTGAGAAACTGGATTAATGGTTAGTTTAGAAGGAGGTTATTTCGAACTCATGCTTTCCACAGTGTCTGTGTATGATTAAAAGGCTACAAAATTACACATATTACAAAGATTTGGGGTTTGGAGGTTGTGTGGCTGGACTTAAGGCACACCTGGGGTTAATACTGTCACCCCAGTAATACAGCCCAGATTTGATTCATGACAGAAACAAAGGCACATGAATGAGAAAGACATTACCAATTCAGCCTTTTCCTCAGCCTGGACTTCTCTTTGCTCTGAGGTATGTAATTAAAGGGAGAAAAAAGAATAGCATTATGAACAATCTCAGGGAGAGGAGATGCCTTCCACAGCATGTCCTCTTGTGTTTCAGGGAGGCACTCTGGCATACCATACAGCAGCCCTAAAAATCACCCTGCCCACCTTGCCCAGCAACAGCTCACGTCTTTGGAAGAGAAGTTGGAGTCAGGGCGTATGTGGGTGAAAGGAAAGGCCCAAGTCCTAGATTTGGTAGCCCAGAGGGGAGAGCTCTGGGCAGCCACTGGCTCAGTGCGTAGCAGGGAGCACAGCCTCCTCTCCTGACAGCCCTTTACTTTGGTTTGGTTTGCTGGGGGTTTTTGCCCTTTTTTTTTTTTCTTTTTTTTTTTTTTTACAGTCCTTTGTGTTTATGCTTGTCACTATTTGGTGAAAAAGTTCCCGTTGTAGCAAAAGGTGATTTTGGCCGCATGTTTCTCCCAGACATAATGAGTGCTCCGAAGCCATGCTGATGGGAGAAGGCGTAACCGGAGCGACGGGTGCTGGTCCGACGCAAGCGTCTCTTGGGTGAGGGTGGCGGTGGCCGCTTTTTGTCCTCTTTGATCTTGAGCAGGACCTGAAATTGGAAGATAAGATGGACAAAGTGAGAAGTGTATAATTATTCACATGCTTGGTACAAGAGGAGCAAAGAAGGGGAAACAGTTAGGGGTCCAAAGCTAAAATTGCCAAAACGGGGGTGGCAGGAAGGGTTGCAGGGCAGGAACTGAACTGGCAGCACAGAATGGCAGCCTGGCAGAAATGTTATTTTCAAGGCATTTGTAGGACTGTGATCTGTAAGCAATGGGATGGAATGATTTCAGTGTATTGTTTTTCATAGTTCTGCAATGCTTGGGTTGGGGTATTACTGCAGCTCTTCTAGGCCCTTTAGTCAAATAACCCAAATTGTGAAAGTAATCTCAACAAAAGTCCAGAAAACAAATAAGGAAGCATTCAAAAATTGGCCTACTTAATCTAGAAAACAGACTTCTAAAGGGAATGTCCAGTGTGCAAAACCTGCTTTTTTTTTTTTTTTATGAGAACGGTGATCAAGAAGTTCTCATATTCTTTGGCAGAAAGGAACAAAATAATACACATATTTGCAGGTAGTGGGCTCTCTGCTTTCCACATGGCTACTGAGGTCATCTGTGGACAAGCATCTCTTCAGAAAGGGGCTGTCATAGAATCGTAGGATTGTTTAGGTTGGAAAAGACCTTTAAGAATTTTAAGTCTATCCATTAATCTAGTACTGTCGGGTCCACCACTAAATCATGTTCCTAAAAGCCACATCTACACATCTTTTAAATACCTCCAGGCATGGTGGCTCCACCACTTCCCTGGGCAGCCCATTCCACTGCTTGACAGCCCCTTTGGTGAAGAAATTTTTCCTAATATCCAATCTAAATCTCCCCTGGTGCAACTTGGGGTTTTTCCTCTTGTCCTGTTGCTTGTTACTTTGGTGAAGAGACCAACCCCTACTTCGCTACAACCTCCAGGCTAAACAATCCCAGTTCCCTCAGCCACCCCTCATAAGACTTGTTCTTGAGCCCTTTCATCAGCTTCATTACCCTTCTTTGGATGCATTCCAGGTCCTCAATATCTTTCTGGTAGTGAAGGGCCCGGAACTGAACGGAGGATTCAAGTTGCGGCCTCACCAGTGCTGAGTACAGAGGCACAATCACTGCCCTGGTCCCACTGGCCTTTCTGTCAAGCAGATCAACACTCCTACCCAACTTCATGTCATCTGCAAACTTACTGGGGGTACACTCAATTCCCCTGTCCAGATCATTGATAAAGACATTAAACAGGAGTGGCCTCAGTACTGAGCCCTGGGGAACAGCACTCATGACCGGCCACCGACTGGATTCACCATCACACCCTCGGCCCAGCCATCCAGCCAGTTTTTCACCCAGCCAAGGATACACCCGTCCAAGCTATGAGAAGCCAGTTTCTCCAGGACAATGCTGTGGGAACTGGTGTCAAAGGTTTTACTAAAGTCCAGATAGACAATGTCCACAGCCTTTTCCTAATCCACTAGGCAGGTCACCTTGTCGCAGAAGGAGATCAGGTTAGTCAAGCAGGACCTGCTTTTCGTATATCTATGCTGACTGGGCCAGATCACCTGGTTGTCCTGTATGTGCCACGTGACAGCACTCAAGATGATCTGCTCCATAACCTTCCCTGGCACCAAAGTCAGACTGACAGGCCATAGTTTCCTGGGTCCTCCTGGATCTTTCTGTAGCTGGGTGCCACATTTGGTAACCTCCAGTCCACTGGCACCTCCTTGTTTAGCCAGAACTATTGGTAAATGACGGAAAGTGGTTTGGTAAGCACTTCTGCCAGCTCCCTCAGTACCCTTGGGTGGATCCCATCTGGCCCCATAGACTTGTGTGTGTCTAAGTTGGTGTGGCAAGTCACTAACAATTTCCCCTTTGTTTAAGGGGGCTTCATTCTGATCCCCATCACATCTCAGGGGGCTGGGAACCCAGAGAACAACTGTTTTTACTATTAAACATAGAGGCAAAAAGGCATTAAGTACTGCAGGCTTTTCCTCATCCTGTGTTACTGTTTTCTCCTGGCATCCAGTAAAGAATGGAAGTTCTCCTTAGACCTTCTTTTGTTGTTAGTGTATTTATAGAAACATTTTTATTTCCCTTTACAGCAGTAGCCAAATGAAGTTCTAGCTGGGCTTTTGCCCTTCTGATTTACTCTCTGCATAACCTCATAACAATGCTGTAGTCCTCCTGAGAGTCCTACCCCTTTCTCCAAAGGTCATAAATTCCTAATTTTCTGGAGTTCCAGACAAGTCTCTCTGTTCAGCCAGGTTGGTCTTCTTACCCACCAGCTCATCTTTCAGCACATGGGGACAGTCTGCTCCTGTGCTTTTAATCTTTTTGAAGAATGCCCTGTCTCTGGGACTCCTTTGCCCTTCAGGACTGCCTCCTGAGGGACTCTGTCAACCAGGCTCCTGAACGGACCAAAGTCTACCCTCCCAAAGTCCAAGCAGAATTCTGCTGACCCCCCATCCTTACTCTTGAAGAACTGAAAACTCTATCATTTTATGATCAATATGTCTAAGTCAGCCTTCAACCATCACATCATTAGAGTACTTCTCTGATCACACACATCAGGTCCAGCAGGCACCTTCCCTCCTTGGCTCACACACCAGCTGTGTCAGGAGGGTCTCTTCCACATGTTCCAGAAACTTCTGGACTGTTTCTTCTCTGCTGTATTTCCAGCAGACATCTGGTAGGTCAAATTCCTTCACGAGAACAATGGCTAGCCATCATGAGACTTTTCCCAGATGCCTATAGAATATTTTGTCTGCCTTTTCATCCTGGTTGGTTGGTCTTTAACAGACTCCCACCATGATGTCTGCCTTGTTGGCCTCCCCCTGATACTTACCCATAAACACTCAACCTTATCGTCACCATCGTCAAGTTCTAGAAAGTCAAAACACTCTCTACAGGGCTATCCCTCCACCTCTCCTTCCTTGCCCATCCAGTGCAGCACTCCAGTTGTGTAAGTCATCCCACCATGTTTCCATGATGGCAGCTATATCTAGATTGATCCCTGTTCAGTCTCCATGTGTTGCCTGATCTAGTTCACAGGCGTCCCTGCCCATGACAGGGAGGGTGGATTAGATGATCGCTGAGGTCCCTTCCAGCCTAGGCCATTCTATGATTCTATGATTTCCTGTTGCACAATGGCTTCCAGCTCCTCCTGTCTGTTGCCCATGCTGCCCATTAGTGTAGATGCATGTCAGTTGGGCTATCAATCCCAGCACTTTTTTGAAGAGAGAAGCCCTAATTCCCATGTGATCATTCTCAGGTGCTTCCATGATTTCTAATGCATCAATAACCCTTGCATCTTTGCTGATGCATGAATTTCCATCCTCTGTCTCCACTGAGACTTATATCTAATGGCTTATATCTAGTGACTTCCTTTTTTCCCTTTCCCCCTTCAAATCTAGTTTAAAGCTCTTTCCATGAGCCCTGCTAACTCCCATGCAAAGATTCTTATCCTGCTTTGGGACAAGTCTATCCCATCTGTCACCAGCAGCCCTGGTGTTGTGTAAACCAACCCATGAACAAAGCTCTGCCAAAGGTCTGTCACAGGCAAGAGGCCAGTTCTGAGTGCCAGGGGCTTGGCAGCATCTTTTTTTTTTCCTGCTTGGGACTGTGGCAGCTATAGGTACTTGGCCTCTCTAAGTATGAGGTCTGTATTTAAGTTGCTCTCATAGTGCCAGCTGGGATTCTCTGTACTACAGGAAACCACAACACTCCTGTCCCGTGACAATTCACTTCCCAGGGGAAGTCGAAGAATAAAGTGATTTTGCACTAGAGACTGATGCACAGCCCAGGCTGGGATTCTGGGCCACAGCTGTGTTGGAATTCCACTCAACTGAAAGGTACACTCTTCCTGTTTTAACACATCTGTAACTGTGTCCTGAGGACCTTGCTTCCTAGCAGGCTTCCCTAGCACCCACCTACTCTCTCTGCAGGGTCTGAGAATTCCCTTTCACTCGTTCTCCGGCAGTTCTGGAGCACCTGGGGAGCTTCACAGACATGCCAAGGGTGATGAGGTCCAGCACTGAGGAGCAAGCTCTTGCGGCCTATGCTGAGAGGCACTCGGTTTTGGCAGCTCGGTGCAGGAAGAAGAAGGAATCACCAGGTGGCAGCAGCATTTAGCAGAAATTTTTGAATGTTTGAAAATGTTTGAAAGCCAGCCAGAGGAGCTGTGTTCGCACTGGTCCGTGGGCTTCAGTGAGCTACGAGCTCTCTGTCGACTCCATCTCTCCCAACCTCTCCCTATCTTCTCACTCCTGGGGATGGGAGGGCAGCTGGTTTCGGAGGAGGGATGTAACTACTGCCCACAAAGCAAATTCCAAAGTGAAAAAAATCCCCAGCAAACGTGTGCCTGGGTGGAGGGTGAAGGACTGTGGACTACGAGGCTAAAAACTGCCTGGCAGTAGGGCAGGAGAAACACTCCACTCCTTTGCTGCTGAGCCACAGCGCTTAAACCCTGAACCTAAAAATAATGCAGCTTCCTTGCTGCAGGGCAGTCTAACCCACATCTAAATAGTCTCAGCCTTGGTCCCATGTGGTTTGAATTGTGCCAAAACCCAAATTCTGTCCTCCTTCCCAAGAGTCTAGGGGACAGATGGATGGCAGGACTTGCCTCTGCAGGGACATACACCCCTAGCAATACCAAGCCCATGCAGTATGGCTCCATGGTAAGCTAAGGTGGTATTAAGCAGGATTTCTGGTTTAATAAGGTATCCCTTACCTTGTCGCTGGGAGTTGGCTTTAACTGAGTCTTCAGGAATCGAAAGCCAACTACAGGGAGCACACAGAGGGTGATGCTGAGGAAGATTGCTAGCCACACATTTGGTTGGCTGAGGGTGTTTCGAGCCGTACCTGAAAAACAAAAGCATGATTAAAACCATAAAAGCAGCACCTCTTACCTGAACCTTTCACTCTGTGATTTCAAAGCAGTTGGCAAACAAAGCAAAATATAAAGCAGACACCATCTCCAGCAGTTAAATCATCTTGCTGTAGGGAGGACAGCAATACCGGTATCACTGAGATGAGCAAAGAAAAATGCAACATCCAGGCACAGCTGCAGCAACTCAGCAACGATGTCGGAGTAAATGCCTCATCTCTTCAGAGTCAATGATTGCAAACGGCAGATGTACATGTTCGGAAGACCTTTTACAGCAGTAATCCAGCCCTCTCACCTTTTGCCAGGACTCTAGTGGAAAAGGAAGAATACTATTTTCTTATTTGCTAGCGTCAATCTCCTGAAGCATATGGAGTACTCGCTCTGACTGCCCAGCAGAAGGCAGGATGGCAGCCCTTTATGAGAGGAGCACATGTTGCTTTGAGTGTCTGCATAACCTGCTGGGTGTGTTGGCAGAGCAACTGCCCTGTGCTGGCTTTACACTGCCACCTTCTTTGAAACCAAAGAGCTCACTTCTGGCTCTTCCAAAACTGAAGGAATGTAAGACAGAACAAATAGTCTGCAAAACCCTCATTACAAGGCTTGATGATGCTGTTGTGGGCAGTAAAGTTGCTGAATGTTTTCAGGTGACAAAATTCTGGTGTAATACAATGCCACTGAAATCAAAGTGAACAAGTTGTCTGAGTTGAGACTAGAAATACTTTCCTTAAAGATGGTTTCAGACTGAGACCATATTAAGTGACCTTCAGCATTATGGCTAATTTGACCTATGTAACACAAACAGAGCAGCAGATAAGAGATCCCGTTAAGTGAGTTCCCACCTGTCTTTGAAAACTGAACAGACACTTGTCTTCTCTCAGCATTTTTGACACTGAAAGACATCTTATAGTGGATGTGACCACCTGCTCAGAAAATAAGTTGCAATAACTGACTTACTTGAATCTCATGTATTTCTAAAATGGCCAAGCACCTTGGTGTTTGAGTGAAGATGAGCAGAACAAGTCTTGGCTTAACAATTAATCCAGAAGTAGAGGCATTGATTAATGCACCATTCTGAGACTTCAGACAAGAAGCTTTGGGATTTCAGAAGCAGATCGCATAACAATGCTGTATCAGTATTGGCTATGGATGCACAGAGCTATTAAAAACACGTGAATTACTTTGATAAGCTTTCATCTTCCTCCTGCTTACCCTTCAGTTTTTGCATGTGTTCAGAAATCTGATTATACAGATTAACTCCAAAGACCTGGTCATCACTGGAATTTTTATTGTTGGCAATTCACCATTTAATCTGTGTGAAGGCTCGCTATAATCATGTGGCATTTTTCTCATGTCTAACTGGATGTTGTACTTCTAGACTTTCCTATTCCAACATGTTGACTTATTTACAAGAGAACATGCATCCTTCTGCAAACAAAATGCTCCTAGATATGTGTAAGAACTAGACACCTGGAGGCAGAATATAAAAGAGCAGGAGAAAGCATTCCAGCCAGCTAAGTAGGTTTGTTTAAAGGACCTTTCCTGTGGCTGCATGTGAATGTACATACATTCACCTGGATGGATAGGATTCAAAATAAGCATTCCTAGCAGCCCTCAGAAATACCCTGGCATTTCCTGTAGAAAAGACAGTCCATATATTCTGTTATTGCCTCTCTAGAGGCAATAAAATGTACTGTAAATACTCAGCAGGTTTAAGGTCTACAGTATGGCTATTTTTAGTGCAATCCAGATTTGTCCCAGGGCTTACCAACAAAGGGAAAGGCGGCTGTGAAGATCAGGTACATGCCATCACTATACATGGTGAAGGTGATAGCAAAGTAAACAGAAAGGCTGCCCCAGATGAAGAACTGGTTCACAACTGTCCAGTAAGAAGTGTCCAAGCCAATCTGAAAGAATGGAGCAATAGAGCTATTGTCAGTGCCTTAATTGCTTAACAGATCTGTGCTGAACACAGCTTGTCCTCTCTGTTGTGCACTTGCCCCCAAAACTGTTATTTGTTCAAGTCTCAACAAATACTAAGCCACAGATCATAGGATGCTGGGAAATGATTCAAGGCAAGTATTTCTACATTTGCCCTGTTGTTACCCTCTTCTCAAGCGTTCACGAGTGGCGAGAGGATTCTAGGTTCCAATGATCCGTGCTTATGTTCTTACCCCCAAGCTATGATCTAGCATTTGAAGTTAGAAGAGGGAGCCTACAAGACCTTAGACAGCAGAAACCATTAGCTGTGATTGATTGGTTTTCTTTTATGAAATTTCTCTCAATCTGCTTGTACCATCTGAATTCTGTACCACCCAAGTCTTAGCTACTTCTTCCGGCAAATGTAGGCCTAGCATCTGCATCATGCATGGGGCCAGGCTACAGAGACAGCCCCATAATGAAGACCCTGTAAATAACTGCCTAATAGCAGACAGACAGTCCTGTGACTCAAATTCTTCCCACAAAACTGGAAGGAGTCCTTCCCTATTCCTAGCCTTAAATGTGTTGTCTGCTAAATGTTTTGTCTGCAAACTTCATACGGCAAAAAATTCCTTCCTGTCACCCTGATCTTCCATAACATACAAATGAATTCTATGATTCCATGATTCAAAACTGTTGTCCTGTTGAACTGAGGAGAATAATCTGCTGTAAAGAGATTTTGATTTTTATTTCTGTAAGAATGCAAGATGCAGCAACAGGTACAATTCTATTAAGATCCCAAGCAGCCCTCTAGATGCTAATTAAAGAAATATTTAATTCCCAAAAATATTACCTGGGATGCCTTACCTGTACAGACACCACAATCAGTAAGCAGGTCTGGGCCATTAGTGCAAAGGACTGGTAGTCAGCAATGGCCTTCCCGTCACTTCTCATTGTATTGTACATGGCCCCATAGGGGATGAAGAAGAGAATGAGGGAACTGTAAATCCCTTGCAACATGCATGTGACAAACACCATTTTGTTAAAGTAGAGGTTTTGCTGGCCAGGAACATACAGCTGAGGAAAACGAATACTCCAACGATCATCCACATCCTGAAAAGTAGAGAGGAGATGTCAGATTTGCTGGCATCTACCCAATTGGACATATTTTCCACTTTCCATTTTGAATTTCACCTTTCTTGTGCTGAAGAAGACTGACAAGTGCTGGGGAAAAAAAGAAAAAAAGAAGAAAGAAGGTACACTTAATCTTAAGCAGACTGTATGGCCTGCTCTCCAGATGCTTACCTTGAAGCTACGGGATAGAAAACACTTCCCCTGGGTCCACACACAGGGCAGAGATTTTTGACCTGTATCCTTTAAGTGTGCAGAACTGTACACTGTGAAGCACTGCAGAGTAGCGATTTCCTACTTACTTAACTTGTAAAAGTCATGTAGAAACAGCTTTATTGTTCCTGTAGCTTGATGAACAGTAATAAAGGGGTAGAAATATGTATGTGAAATTACTGCAGAAAGATTTCCATTACAAAGGCTGAACCCAGAAATCCCGGCTTCAGAGATCTAGTTCATTCATTGTTTTGTGTGATCTTTAAAAAGTCACTTGTCAGGTTTAAGGAACACAGCTAGTAAGATGTGCCTACTTCAGTGAAGTGTTGCAATGGTATCTGTTACCTGTAGTCAACAGCTTAGCCTGAAAATCTCACCACACGCTAAAATCCATTGGGCCAGATCAGGCTAATACACCATGTTGTCCCTGGTTCATCCTTTTTTTTCTGGCAGGAAACAATTTCAGGGGCTGCCACAATAGCTAGCCAAGAAGTCAGCTGCTTTTGCTTCATGGAACTAACTGAAAGCACTTGGCGATAAAACCCTATAAAAAAATCCGAGTGGTGATTGAAACAGTACCTGATCGAAGAGGCTCATTCCTAGCACCGGGAGAGAGGTATATACCAAATTGTAAAGTGTAATGAACCACTCATCATAGACAGTCTGAAAAGCAAACAACAGAAAACAGAGCATGGAGTTAGTAAAAGGCTGCCTTTTCCATCTCTTTGAAAGTATGTACGATTAAATGCTGAAGCATCTTGGTTGGAGATGCCAGGTGGGAGCAGCTGTGCAGAGGACACCCAGCTGGCACGGACCCTCCCTGCACCCCTGCGCTCTTGGCCCTGGGGATAACACTTGCCCAATACCTATCTGTGCTTCCCTGGGGCTGGCTTGGGCTGGAGATTGGTTTGTCTTAATCAAACAGCAGATTTTTCCACTGCAGAAGACTTGCTCCTCTTGCAAGCTGCTGAATCGTACCTGGCATTAAACTGTTTGCTTCAAATCTGCTAGCAGGGCAAGGACAGGTTTTATACAGGTCTGCCAGACTGGTCAGTCCTCTCTGACTATACCCTTATCTGATGGCTGGAGGCACTTCCAACACTTCTGAAAATCCCATGGGGGACCTATGTGGTTCATAATGCATGTAAATATCTTCAGTCACCGGGGCTCTACCAGCAGCACAATGAAGGTAGCATTACTTGCTTTACACTCACACAGCTGCTGCGTGATGTTCAGTGAGGTGGGAGAATGGGTTAGTTTATTCCCTTTTAAAATATTTCCAGATACTTAGCTTGAAAATGTTAGACGTGCCCATGAGAAAACAGAAGCCAGACCTACCTGTGCTGAGAATCCAGAGAAGAAGCCATACCAGAAATGCACCAATGTGAAAGCAAAATTCTTATAGAAGAAGTATTTGAGGAACTTGCACATGCGAATGTAGGACCACCGGCCATGGACCAGGAGCAATCGCTGCAGGTAACGGAACTGTGCAAAGGAGAAGTCACTGGACAAGACTGCCTGCATCCCCTCCTGGCCGCTGATACCAACCCCGATGTGGGCAGCTGCAACAATAAGGTTATTGATCATGTCATTACACCCCGAGTTTTGATTACCCCATTTTTTTGAAGAGTTCCCTGCACTCGGCAAGCTGAGGACTCTTCTGGGACATTATGTTAACTCCTTCCCAGCTTTTCTAAAATGTCATGTTATTTTTTTTTAAAAAAATAAAATTTTAGGGGGCCCTAATTCTTTCAGTAGAGTTACGATTTTTGCTGTGTAGATACATTTCCAGTAGCTGGGCTTTTATTATTTGAATGAAATTACACCCTCAGTGACAATTCATGATTTCTTTCTGAATATTTTCCAGCAGCATAAATACTGTTTTGTGTAACAGCTGCTGTTACGAAAAGATAACTTTCATTTGTATTTACATGTGACTTATATTTACTTCCATGCACATCCTTCCAGCAGCCTTTAAACATCACTCCAGACAAGGAGAATCTTCAACCTGCTTATAGACTTCTTAGACACAGAGCTACAAGGCAGACTGTAGCCTTTTTACTTTTCCTAGGCTTTACGAGTTCAATCAGATAATTAGATAGAAGAGTCATGTCTTTTTTAATGGTAACTTGGGTTTATTAAACATGGACATAAGTTTAATGTGACAGCTAATTATACAGCTTTTACTAATGAGAACAATCTTGATGGCTGGAAGTTGGTTAGATTCAGAGGTTTCCACTGAACACTGAATTGATAAAATCCCAAAGCCTCAACCCTCTTGTGGGGGAAGTGGGTTAGTTTCTAATTATCATGTACACTTGAGCTTTGCTTATCCTTTCTTTGCTGACTGCCTGACTTATCTCCCTTGAAGCTCTCTACTTAGCCTTTTCTTTCTTAATTAAAAGGCTCCAGTTAATCAATTGCTGCAAATTAATGAAAGGAAGATTAGCAATAGGTCCTTCTGAATAATCTTAATTTAATTATACTTAGTTGGGAGATTTTTTTCATAAATTCACTAAGGTAATGCAGTATCAAATGATGCTGAAGGATGAAGGGACCTAGAAACCTGTGATTTATAACTGAAGGGACATAACTGACAAATGGCCCCACAACATGGAAATGTTTAAAAAAAAAATCTTGGAAGATTATACAGACTGTTTACAGGCATGAAGGTTTTATTTCTCAATGGAGACAGAAAATCTCTGAAACAAACTTGTTTGTTCTCTTTATTGCCCTTGTGAACGTCACCACACAGACACAGAGGAGAACATGTCACAGTGGGCTTTTGTCTACTCTAAGGTGGAAATAGGGAAATAGGCAATAAGTGAGATCTTAGGTCCCTGCGATCCAGGTGGCAGGAGCACAGCAGAGGGACCTCCTGTGTGTCCTGAAAGGCAGGAGACATGAGCAGCCTGTAGTGACAGTGCTCTGCAGCAACCTGCCAAAACTTGGAGCATAGTCAGTACCACAAGGAGGGTGGTACAGAAGACACTTGGATATATGTTCCTGCTGCTAAGCCACCTCAGATAGCAAATTGGCTGGTCACTGTGCTAAAGCATGGTGGCTGTTGGCCGTCACTCACTTTTGATCATGCTGACATCGTTGGCGCCATCTCCGATTGCCAGGGTCACAGCCTTCTTGTATTTCTTCACCAGCTCCACCACCTGGGCCTTCTGCAGTGGAGTCACCCGGCAGCAGATCACCACTTTGCACAAGCAGGCGGTTCTCACCAGCTCCAGCTCTAGATTCCCTTCCAGCGCGTAAGCCTGAGAAAAAGGAGCCAAGGAGGAGTTCAGGTCAGACAAGCAACAACTCATGGCCTGACAAAGAGGGAAGGAAATGAGAGTTCAGATGATTTCTTCATTTGGAAGGTATGGGATACCCTATGTGAGTCTCTCCATTCAGTTGCAGAGAGCATCCACACCACACAACATCATGCCATATGGCATGCACCTACAGCCTTGTGCTTTCGGCACATCACAGCTGTATTTCATGGAATCATAGAATCATAGAATGTTCGGAGTTGGAAGAGACCTCTAGAGATCATCTAGTCCAACCCCCCTGCCAGAGCAGGATCACCCAGGGCAGCCACACAGGAACGCATCCAGGCGGCTTTTGAATGTCTCCAGAGACGGAGACCCCACAACCTCCCTGGGCATCCTGTGCCAGGGCTCTGTCACCCTCACAGTAAAGAAGTTTCTCCTCATGTTGAGGTGGAACTTCCTATGTTCTAACTTAAACCCATTGTTCTATTGCTGGGCACCACTGACAAGAAATGGTCTCCTTCCTCAGAAGAGATTGTCTCTTTCCTCCCTGTGGACTTGCACCACAGCTACTCTAGTTGGTGGAACCTGACAGTGCAAGTAGAATTACTAAACAACAGAAGCACTAGATAAGGCAAGCTGCTGCTGGGCCTGAGACAACTGCATGTATCTCCATGCAAGAGAGCCTCTGCTCATCCCTCTTGGTTTATTTTTAAGCTCTGGAAGGTGTGTGGTATAAACAGAAGAGATTTCAGTTTGGGAGTACTTAATTAAAAAAAAACAACAACAAAAACTAAAACATGGAAAAAGCTGAGCTCAGGTGGGCATGGCAAAGCAAGACACAAAGCCAGGGAGAAGGTAGCTTTGCTCTGAGTGCTGACCTTTTAGATCAGTCAGACGTGTTATTTCTATTTGGGAAACAGAGAGATAACTGGGTGTCTGGTCACTCCCCCAGCTCTGCGCAAGGAGGAGGGAGCAGTGTCAGCTTTTCATATTTCTTTCAGATCATCATGCTTTTTGGCTCTGTTCTTTGATGTCTCCTCTCAGTAGACATGCATGGAAGGAATCTGCAGGGCTCTCTCCTCCTCGGAGCCATTACAGCAGGCTCACTGCCCTTTCTGCGTTAATGCAGATGATCTTTAGGCCAGACGCTCTTTCTTCTTGAAGCAGAGAGCTGTGAGTCACCAGCACCCCCGCTTCCCTCACGTCAGTGGCAGGCAGGCTTGCTCGACAAGAGAGACCTTCTCATCATTTAGCTTTAGTTGGCACAGTTAGAGATGGCTTTTGCCACAACGTCCTTGCTGCACAGCACTAGCAAAATGTTACTGCGTAGTGTATTAAATGTACAATGATGCCATTACAGATGCTGGTGTGCTTCTGTTCACTGACTTCTTTTTAAGCAAGACCGCAGGCATGCATAGCTCCAGTGCTGCCACACCCAAGCAGGGGTACGGAACAAAACAGATGTTGTGTTTGAGTGGAACAGCATCCGTACTATTACCATTATTCAAGCTCTAAGTTCATAGAAATAAATAATAAATGGATAAATAACACATAGATTTGCCTACACTGTCCTTCTGGTTCATAACCAGGAGAAAGCCATGGCTGCACCCCCACAGCCCAGGTTTGGGCTTCTTTCTGTGGAACATATCTCCTTGCCAGGTTTTCCAGGCAAGGGAGTTGTGGCTTGTGAGGGTGTCAGAGGATTCACCCATGCAGATGCACTGAGCTTGATAGAGGTCTTGTCTGTTTTTTAGTGGGAATCTAAAGGGGATTAAGGCCCTTGAGTTGAAGAGAGGATTAGTGCAAAAGAGAGAGGGCACCTGACAATGTAGACACTGCCTGAAAGCATCCCCTCTAGTCCAGGGTCCATATACATGGCACACAAGACAAAAAATGGAGCAAGATGAGGGTTTTTTTTAATGGTAATTTGCCATGCTGGTATAGAGCTGGACTGTTAACGAGACACGCAGCAACCACGGGGAACAGAAGCATCTATTCTCTGAAAGAGCTTCCAGCTCTGTCCATGTCTGCCTACTTGCTTCCCCTACAACCTGGAAAAGCAAAATACAATAGACAAACTTGATCTAGACTAAGCCTTCCTCCCAGACAGGTTGAAATGTATCTAATTTTTTTCTCTAACCTGTTATAAAAAATTTCCAAGGCTGGAAAATCTTTAACAGTGCTTCTTGATTCTTACCAGGAAAACATTTCACCCATAGCTCTTACCTCAGTTTAATTCCATTTTTCTGTTCACCTGCTATTGTTTGAAGAATGTTACCAAGACTGACCGGTTTTCTCCAGGCTTGGATATCCTAACTCTCTCAGTTTTCCCCCGTGCTTTCTAGATCATGCATAACTACTCTTACAGTCTTCCTTGTACTCTCTCTAGTTGATCTGTATTTCTTCTCAAAGAAAATGGCCCAAATTAATTATTTCAGCTAAGACATTACGAATGCCAAATAAAGCAGGAGGCTTTCCTCACATGTCTTACAGGTGGTGCTCTTACATACATAACTCTGATTTTTTATGTGTTGTTGATTATGTAAAAGTGGAAAACAAGGCATTTGTTCATACTGAATTGCCTTCTCCATTTTTCCAAAGTATTTCTCTAATTTGTTAAGACTGTTTTCAAATCTAATAATGAGCTTCATCGTGCCTGCTGTTTCTCCCAGACTGGTGTTATCTGCTCTCTTTTTAAGCAGTTAATGAAAACATTGAATATCAAATAGATGTGGGATAGACCCCTACAGAGGCCACTTAACTGTTGTTTTAGATAATCAGTGGGCCCTTAAGAGCCATACTTTTCTTGCATTTGTCACTTAACAATTTCAATTAGAATGTATTACTTCAATTTGCTTGAAAGAACATCATGGGAGAGACTGTCACACAATTTATTAGTTAACTTCTAAGATATATGTACTACCTGTTAAATATATCTGTTATCAGATATATTTAGTAGAATGTGTTCCTGGCATACTTGAAACCCATGTCTGATGTTATCTTACCGTCTTGCTGTCTCCATAAACTGCCTGATTATTTTTCTAGTATCTTTCTAGAAATGAAAATTGATCCAGATACTCTACCCATCTTGTTCATCTAACATCAGGGCCAACTCTCTTCCCTGTTCCAGTAATCTAAAAACTTCTAAAAACCTCATCACCTTTGATGTCTCAGATAACCACTGAACCCAATCTTCAAATAGGGAAAACAAATCCAGTCCTCTAGAGCTAGTTTTTTAAAGTGTTTTCAAACTTCCAGTGTGTCACATTCACTTCTTCAGAGAACACAGCCCTAACATGACTTCCTTACCAGGCTGTGGCCAGTGATGACCAGACCATATACTCCATTTGCTTGCTCATCGGGTATAATTTTTGGGTTTTTTGAAGATTTTTCAAACTGAACATTGATTTCATCACTGTCTGAAAAGGAGTCTGGCTTCATCTTTTTCCTTGCATTTCTAGAAAAGAAACAAAACCAGAATAATAACGAAAAGTTTGTAAAGATTTGTGGGTTTTATTAAATCAGCTTCATGAAAATGAAAAAACAGTGCTTCCCTCTAATATTTTAGTTCAATTTTCCCTGTATCCCTACAAAAATATGCATAGTTCAGCTGCTGCTATTTGTGCAGATCATCCACACGCTTCTGAAACTCTCATAAGTGTCTGCTAAACTTGTGCTGATTTCAAGTCAAATTAATCATCTGAGCATCATAAAGAAACATATCTCAAAGGGTATCCCAATTTTCTGTGCATATTGTCTGGCATCCATCTCTTTCAAGGGAAAAGGACTGGAAAACTTTCCCTCTTTCAAGGGAAAAGGACTGGAAAACTCCTATTTTCCACCTATACCTTAGAACTTGTGTCTACTGAGCAGGCTAGGGAGGAAGACAGATTTCCAGATAATGCTATAAAAGGACCATAGTCAAAGGACTGCAATGTGGGTGGATGGCAATGGTATTAGAGCAACAGCATAGCTCAAGCCTGGAGCCAAAGGCATTGTGGCTCCAGATCACTTGTCGAATGTCAAGTGCTTGCCTGATTCTGCTTTCTTATGCTTTTATATAGATTTGACCTCTTGGATCAAGAAGCTTCAGAGTTTATCCTTGGACGAGATTTCTACATTGTGTTTAGCTGCTAGATGTTCCAGAATGCCAGCTAGCCCTTACCTAAGGTATCTGAATGAACTGCACCAAGTAAAGTCTACAGGAAAAAAGGTTGAGTAATACAAGATACAAACAGTGTCAGTGCACGGAAATGAAGCTATATATTTCAGACATTTACCTCAGCTCATTAAGTACATCATCAGCTGTGCTGCCTTCAATAATGAAGACATCTTCCATGTCATCATTCAGCAAGTTGCAGGAGTAACCAATATTCATTGCCGTCTCTGGGAAGGATAAAGCAGAGATAATCTCAGCAGCTCCAGTCTCACCCACCACCTCTGTGGCCTTTTAAGCATATGAAAAAAACTCTTATTCACAACTAAAAGAGCATGGAGACTTTCTGAGTCAACAGTTTAAGAGATGCAGGAGAGTCATCTTAATGGATGCAGCAACGTATCTCCCCAAATTGGGTTTCACAAGGACACAGAAAAAAAGAATAAAAGGATTCTACCAAACCCAAAAAAGCTTAAAAGGCCCTTTGGAGCAACAACAATAACAAAATTATATTGATTTAAATTTTTTTTTTCAAGATTTTTAACTTTCCCTTCCTCTACTCCTAGCAAAGCCCCAAATCATAGTTCTGAAGAAGAATATGAAGGCATTTTTTTTTTGACATTTCTGAGGAAAAAAAAATGTTGGTATTTCATAAGAAAAACTACTATATTTAGAACATGATAAAATGAAATATTTCCTTTCTTCTCAAAAATATTCTTCTCATTTCTTGAATAAAATTATTTCTTAACACTTCTGGTTTCCCTGAAACACCATTGTTTCAGTGAGGTTACTATTTCTCCAAAAGAGTTACTTAGATTCTGTTTATCATTCTTTCCAACTTAATGCTTTCTCTAGAAGCTTATGCTTCCTCCATTTCTGTTCTGGGTTCTTAATACCAGGACCAGACTGAAACAGACCCAACACCCACTTCAGCATTAAAGTTCCTGGAAAGCAGGACAACATTTTTCCCACCTTGGTCACCAGGACAGTCAATCGCACTAAATTGGCACCTTTTCCCAGAATATGACAGGTACTGTGAGATGCTCGTCAGCCCTCCAAAGGCAAAGGAAGATGCCTTCACACCTCTTTCAACCTCAGGGCAGGAATTAAAAACAGGAACTAGCTACAGTTCTCAGGTCTAATTCCAGGTAACTGAAGTTTTTGCCTAGCTGGCAAGGAAGAAAAGCTCTGTAAGCTTGTCCTCTGTGCAGATTTCAAAGGAGAAAGAATGAAAACATGGGTCTTAGTAGAACCATCTCACCAGGGGGAGAGACAAGAAACATCCAGAGCCCTTTACCTTGCTTGTCTCCAGTGAGAACCCATATCTTAATGTTGGCCTTGGCAAGAGTCTCTATTGTCTGTGGGACTCCGTCTTGTAACTTGTCCTCAATTGCTGTGGCACCTAGCAGCTTAACAGAAAATGACAGGGAAAGGGTAAGTCTTCCCCTTGCTAGCGCAGGAGAAAGCATTAGACATCCAGGTAATTACTCAAGCAAACACAAATGAAATCCAGGAGTAAAGTTGTACTGATTTTCATTCTTCCTCAGCAAATTTACAGTACAGAGTAGAGCCCTGATTCTGCGAATGTTCTAGTCTCTAATCCCCCAGGATCAGATGGATCATGAACATGCATGAAATTATTTGCCAATATGTTTTCAGACCTACAGGTCTGTGTTCTTCTCTGGGCCTCCTTCACAGCAGACAGTGCTTTTAACTAAGGGAGAGAGACAGCTGTGGATCCGTGCCCACAAACCTCCATATGCAACCTCTAGTGTGGACCTTGCTCCCAGCTATATTGTACTGCAGCTGTCATTTGGCTTCTAAACACCTTTTCCAGCCCCTAACAGACCTGTCCCCACCCCTACTGCACATTGTTACCCAGCCAAACCACAGATTGCTCAGGACATCAACCTTCATTCTTTTAAAGTTATTGGTTTTTTCCTGCATTTTGGAGATACTTGGTGGCTTTAAGCTATCATCAAACGGACATGAGGGTTCCACTGCTAGCTCAGGTTTAGGCAGCATCTGCTACCACCTACCTCCTGCTGTTGAGAGACTAAATTCAGAGGTTGGCTTTAAGCCCAAGAGCCCTTTTGGCTTCCTGGGATGTTCATCATTCATCAGTTATGAGTGTTATCAATGTAGACAACAGCTCTGACAGAATTTCTCTATAGGGTCGTCCAAACAGCACAATCCACATTTTCAAACAGTAGTCCCTGGTCCAGCTATGGAGAGCTTAAATGCTTGTTGCATACAAAGACACGTCCTGGGATCTCCTGCTCTTACCTGCCAGCCTGAGTGCCCAGGAGGGGCTTGCATTCCGCACAGCTGTTGTGGAGCTGCAGAAAGGCACAGCAGTATTGTTTACAGTCATTTGTCTGTGTACCCATTACTTGGTGCAAAAGCATCTGGAGACATGGTTGTGATCCTTCCTGCTGTGAATCTCCCTTAGTTATTATATCAATCAACGATAAAAAATGTTTTTTACTACTATTCCCTGAATCTAACAATCTACCATACCCTTGTGTCCTCATATCTGTACTCCCTTTAAGGGCCCCTAGCAAGAGCCTGCCACATGCGGGGATTTCTACTCTTGTCCGTCAACCAGACCATGACACCTGGCAGTCCTCTACACCTCCAAAAGACCCATCTTCCTCCTTTGAAGCATAGAATCATAGAATAGTTTCAGCTGGAAGAGACCTTGAAGATCATTGAGTCCAGCCTCCAGCCCTATCAACCAGCTAAACTATGTCCCCCAACGCAACATCCACCCATCTCTTAAACACCTCCAGCGACGGCAACTCAACCACCTCCCTGGGCAGCCTGTTCCAATGCCTGACAACCCTTTCATAAAGAAATTCTTTCTAATATCTAACCTGAACCTCCCCTGGTGCAACTTAAATCCATTTCCCCTCATCCTACCACTCTCCACTGGGGAGAACAGACCAACCTCCACCTCGCTACAACCTCCCTTCAGGTAGTTGTAGAGAGCGATGAGGTCTCCCCTCAATCTCCTCTTCTCCAGGCTAAACAGCCCCAGATCCCTCAGCCTTTCCTCATACGACTTGTATTCTAAGCCCTCTACCAGCTTAGCAGCCGCCTCTATACCTTCTCACACCCATTCTCTGTCACAAGCCAGGCTTCCGTACACTCACCCTCTGTTGTCCTCACAGGGCTTCAGGAAGTAAAGTCACTTCTGTACAGAGAAGGGTTGATGTTTTCCTCCTAGCCACTCTTCTACCTGCTGTGAGCCCACAACCTCTTCTCTACTCAGTCTGTGAGCTTCACAACCCTTTATTGCAAAGCAGATGGCCCCTTCACCTCCTAAACCTCCACATCTTTCCTGCTTTGGACATGACCTGCTGAGTATTTGCATAAAGGTGTTCTCTGGACTGGAGGAGAAGGGTTTTCCACTACTCTGATGAGACTGAGCAGAGGAGGAGGCTCTGCCCCATGGACCACGCAACTCTCAGAGGTCAGCACCTCCTTGACTCACACCCTGCTTCCCCTCAGGCCATGCTGGTACCCTGACTGTACAGCTAAAGGAATGAGCAACAGAGCAGTGTGGCTCCTAGGATTTCAGGAAAACACTGCTGGAAGAGTTCAAGAGCTGAATTGCTTCCCCTTAGATCCCACATATCCTTTTCATTCATTATTCACCGCTCTGAAACACAGCAGACACCCCCTCCCCCCAGGCTTTCAAAAAGCTGCAACAACAGTCAGGGAGAGAGGAATGCCTTGAAGATCACAGCTGATTGCAATTTCAACCTGACACAAACATGTTCATGGACATCAACTCCCCGTCCTGCCCAGGGCTGCAAGAACAAAGAAGACACTCTCCAAAACGGAGGGGCACTGGGGATTATTCACTGCCTGCCATTTCAAAGACAGGGAAATAAATAGATCCGCCGTTTGCACTCACAAAGGATAGCTATGAAATATTCGTGTCCACGTCATCTCCCTCAGGCTGTGGTATGTCAATTCATCATGTGAAATCTACTCTGACACCCACAGGAGTTAAAATAAAACCATTCCTCTGCACGGGTGGCTGACACCCCAATTACAGGCTCCTGATAGAGGTGCCAGTGAAAACCCAGGACTGCCATTTTCTTAACCGCTCCCATCACACAACCCACTGAGCTGTTTGCTTAGCAATGTTTACTGAAGTCATACTGAGCTGTTTATTGACAAATCACCATCCTCACTGCCTCCCCCAGAGCTTGGCCCGGATTCCCTGTAACACCAACCATTAGATCTTTTTCAATCTCTTCATATAACTCTGACAATTTATCTTCCCGTCCTTCCAAGGCAGTGCTTGCTTCATGGTGACGCCTGATCCAGTCCCGAAAGTAGTCTTCATCCAAGTTTTTATAGGCCACCACGAGTGTCCTCAGACCTTCACCAGCAAACTCCTGTAAGGCAGCAGTGGGGCAGAATAGGTCAAAGAATGGTCTGTTCACCTGGGCTTACAAAAGACACTTAGAAAGAAAATGCCTATCTGTAAAAGCTTTCTGCCTATAGCCAGCAAAGAAAAGGTGAAAAAAAAGTCACACACCTTACACCACAAGCCTTGGAGTACTGCTTAAAAACTAGATGCAAAACACTTTATTTATTATTGCCATCCACAGTCTTTACAAAGGAAAATTTCAAAAGAGCTTTCCTAGATTCCTGATCTAAAGCTTTGTATTAACCAGGTAGGTGTTTCCCAGGCTCATATTTCTCAACAAAAGGTTCAGAATAGTGAGACTTAAATAAACACTGAACACAGCCTTGAATTTTGGACCCAGGTTCCACATTTTTAGGCTACAAATGCTGGCTGAAACGCACAGAGGGAGCACAGCCAGTCATGACATCTCAGCGAGTCCCTGGTAGTGTGCTTTATGGCGATGTATCGTTGACGCCATGGATCTCAGTGTTTGGTGGAATAAAAAAGATCCCTTGGCAAAAACTGAGGTGTTGCCCCAGGACTGAAGTGAAGGTGCATCAGGAATCTCTCTGCTCTGCCCTCTCCTTTGCCAGCAGCTTTCTCTCTCTCCCACAGGAAGTGAGCAGAGATGTTTTTGCTATTGCACAACCCTCCTGGCAAAATTTTCAGTTATCTTGTATTCTGCACCCTGCCAGCAGGATCTGACATCACAAGGGGGAGTAAATATTGGCCAAAACATCCCCTTATATGAGTAATAACCTCCCACTGCACACCATCAAGGCCATAAGTTTGAGTGACACATTTTCCTTGCTGCCCAGTCGATATGACCCCATATGATTTGCGGAAAAAAAGGGAGGTTGACAAGAGTACATCCCAGCACTTGGTCAGCCCCTTCTGACTGAGACCTCTCCAATTGCAATCACTGCACATCTTAATTGTATCCAAGCAGGTAAAGGGGTCTGTGGCCCTTTAGTGATCACGTGAGTTACTCTGATCCAAGACACACTTGAATGTGTTGGGTGTGTGCATTGTAGAGTAACAGCAGATTCGGATGGAATTTAGTTGCCAAAACACAGACATGTTGTACCATTTCAGGTGTTCCACCTATCCTGCCTGGCTTCCAGCTTCTGCTCCAGAGGAGCACTAGTCTTCTGGATGTCCTGCATTGTATTTGCCGTCTGTGTCCAGATGCTCTAGAGCAGTTCAGATAGCACCTGGTGCCCACGCTTAGGCAGCTAATTTAAAATCTGAGGCTTTATAAATTGATTTCCCTATCCATTCCATAACTAAAAAATTCAGTGCTTAGGTGCTGTTTCTGAAATCTGTACTTGGCCTCAGTACAAAGTACACTTCCGTATCTGAAGAGGAGGAAACCATCAGCTGCAGAGATGTTGTGCAGAAGGAAACACTTACATTCAGGTGTTCTGTGGTCTCTTCTTTGAGAGAGTCACAGGATGAATGAAGCAGTTCGTAAAGAATGGTGTCAGCACCCTTGCAGTACAAAGTCAAGTCACCTTCTGGACTCCGCACTATGAGGAAAAGAAGTGTTAAAAATCCCAGTCTAAAGCACCTGGGATATACAGCACTTCCATCAAAACAAAGTAATGTTTTTAGGGGTGTTCAGACTCCATCCAGTTTTGGCAGAATCCCAGGAATCAAGACAAGCTTTGCTTACAAAAGATAATGCAACCAACCTTCCACCTTAGCAGTAGCAGCACAGGCACCTGTACCCTTATTGGATTGGTCTGAGCAGGTGCTCTCTTGGACTATGTGGTTCTACCAGGCAGGACTTCAGGCAGAACATCTGCATTCAAAGTCAAAAAATAATTTATTCTTTGACTCTCTTGCTAGAGTTATGATATTGCAATTCCTGAAATATTTGAAGATGTTGTAGAGTTAATAAAGGCTACCAAGGTTCCTGAATAATTTCTCCATTTTAATTTTGGGAAAGTCGGCTTCTCTACTCATTCTTTCTCAGATTTCGCTGCTAATTTTAAAGTTGATTAGAAGGAAGGCCTTTCTTGCATTGTCATGAGCTAAGTTAGATATGTAAAAAGCTTAGTGTCTCCAGGAGGTTGCTCCATCATTATGGTCCAGGTATTAAAATTTTCTCCCACCTGCCTAAGTTAAGTATTTCTCTAGCACTGTTGCTGTGTAATTGAAAAGTCAAGGCAGCCCATCTCAAGAGCATGGAAGTAAAAGTTATTCAGAAGGCATCATGCACAGGAGATCTCCTACGAAAAGGCATCACATCAGAATTAGGGCCAAATTGAGAGCCTAAAAAGTCAGGAAGGAAAGAAGGGAACAAAAGGAACATACCAATAACAGACATTCGCTTGCGAACATTGTTGAAATCAAGAATGGCGAGGAGTTTGTAGATTTTTGTTTCTCCCATTTCCACCACGGTGATGGTCTCTGGTGTGCGAGCCCGGAACACGAATCCAAAGTTTCTTGCAGCAGTGACAAGGGCGCCCTCATCAGGAGACTGGGCCTGATAAACCAAGTTACCTGCCGTGTAAGGGAAAAAATAGTAATGTGGTTTCTGCCTTGTTTCTGAGGCTGAACAAATAAAAACCCAAAGACATTATATAGCAGTTACCCTTTGCTTTTCTGTCTATCCTCAGAGATGCAGCACTAAAAAGCACCTGATGTCTGCACATCCTCATCAAGTCCCATCAACCCATCTTCCATGCTAGTGCAAGAGGCCTGCTAGACTCTTTTGGGGTCTTTTATCACACTCTTTGGAGTCCAACAGATCTCACTGAGAGGTCAACTTCCTTGGATTTAACCCCTTCTTTTTGTATCTGCATATATTTTTCTCATCAGTATTTTCACTTTATGTATGTCAATTAGTGGTTCTGACCTTTAAAACACTGACTGGGATTTGAGGTGACTGACGCAGTACCTGCAGAAACCCTGTGTGAGTGAAGCTACCGAGTTTCCAGCGTTCTTTGCTCTTTGCTTTATGGAACTTGGTGCAGAGTAGAGAAAGAGTAGGGCAAGGCATCTGCCACCTCAGGAAAGCTGTGGCATCCACAGGAACACACGGGGAACAGAGGCCCTGGTCCTTTCTCTTCCCTTGTGGCATCTCCAAATACACTGATTTATGTGTAGCCATGTACTACAGGAAATTAGGGAACCAAAAGAACCAGTAACACCTTCTTTGGAGAGAAGACATACTGTGGCGCAGAGTGAACAGAACCACTCGGTTTGGTGCCTTCAACAAACCTCACCTTCCTTCTTCTCCTCTGGCATCACTGTGTGACAAAGTGAGAGCAGCCGGAAGAACCTGTGTGTTGGAACATCACTCAGCTTCACAGCTTCAACCAGACTGTGGTCGTAGAAGGCAAACTTTGGGTCGGCTAATGGGTTGTATGAGAAATCAACCTTCTCTGTGTTCTGCAAAAATATGGTTCAGTGTTATTTGTGGAGCTGTCACATGCCTGTTACACCAATGCCTGCCCATCATAGCCCCTCTCCCTTCCTTACCCTTACAAAAGGCCCTCTCCTGCAGGGCTGCTCATGACAGAGACTGGTGAGTCTAAGTAAGTGGGAAGTCATGAAAGCTACTGAATCACAGAATGTGACAGGCACTTGACATGCCTTTCAGAGCAGCACTCAGGCTGAGAACCTGATTAGCTAAAGATGCCTCTCTGTATGACAGCAAATGCTCCTACAGGATCCATGCCAAAGGACTTCTACAGTAAAAAACTCCCTGCCTTCAACACACACATGCCTGGAGGCATCATGCTCCTGATATCTATGGCTGCTTGTGACACGGGAATGTGGAAGCCCAAATTAAAACAATTCAAAAGGCCGTGCTCTCCATTCTGTTCACCCAAAGCAAGAAAAAAATCCTGATATGGAAAAAACATGACAGATAAGTGACGTATAGGTTTGACTCCACAGGCAGTGCCCATTTTGTCTAAAAACAAGGAGCTCCAAGCAGAGGAGGGTGTACTGGAGAAATGTCCAGAAGCTCACAGCGTGATGTGTCATGGAGGAATGCACTGCCAAGCCTGCCTGGGATGATTCTAACTCCCGCCCCGTCTCCGATGAGCTCAGAGTTTCCAGGATGGGAGTCATCTTTTTGACCTCTGCAAGCTGACATTTAGTGCTTACTGTAAAAGCACAGACCCACCACATATACACACTCATCTGTGCAGCGAGGTCCAGGCACTGCAACACTGTGGATGTGTGTGCAGCAGGACTCCGCTCTGGTGAGTGTCATGGGCAGGAGGACCTGCTGGGCAGCCTGTTGGCAGGTGACCAGCACCTCTCCCCCAGCAAGTCAGCCCTTTGTGTTTTGCTTCCAGAGCAAGGGCAGTCTGGAGGCAGAGCACTCGGCACATACAGCCATTTTCAGTGGGTAATTTAAGTTCTAAATGGCCTGGAAGTGAATCATTGGAACGAGGAGTGAGATTTTCATCATCATCTTGCTGTTTCTTATTTGGATTACTGCATGCAGTTTTCAGACATTTTAGAAATCCAAGACGTGGGATTGTGCCAGCAAGTAGAGGCTAGTGAGAAATGGAGAAGTCACCCATTTTCACACTTTCAAAAGTCCAGACGTCAGGGCAATTTGACAGTGACTTTGTTGTTGATATGAACTGAATTGTTGTTATAAACTGAATTCACTGATTCCCCATCAAAGCTTTTATTAGCCGCCAGGGATAATAAAATCCACCAATGCCCAAATTTCCAACAAACATCAATCACTAAGTATTCAAGAGGAGCTCTGCTTGCACTGAGATGTTATGGGAAGCTGAGGGAACAGCAGGCACTCCGGCTACCCCATCTTCAGGTTTAAACTAGGCTTACTGGAAGGGAATTAAGCACTGGCAATCCTCTGATATCTGCAAGAGCACACATCCCTATTGTCAGTGTTAAGACCATGAGCTATGACTGGGTGGACTGTGTCCACTAGGCAGGCAGGTTCACTGAAGGCACAGATCCTCATAGGACTTGAGCACTTACCTCATTTATTTCTATTCTTTGTCCGGACATATCATAGACATCACCTGCAAGCAAGAGAAACTGAGGTTATAGCCACAAATACCAGGTTAGTGCAGTCTCTGAGCTTCGCTAAGACAAAAATGGGTTAAGATGTTTTGAAGCTAGTAGCTAATTAAAAAGCTTCAGTAGCATAAATATCTCAACATGGACACTAGGAACTGATGATTCACATAAATCAGTTTCTATGTTAATTCATGACAAAATCCAGAGACTGTTAGATGCTTGAAACACAAAGCAGTTACCATTAAAATGGCTGGCATTTGGGTAAAGAAGACACGGCTCAAGCTGAAGCCAGAAGGAACATAGTGCTAGGTAGGAAACAAAGGTGCTTTCAGCAGTATGCCTTTGTAGCCGTTTGACCCTGGCTGGTGGCCAGGTGCCCACCACAGCTGCTCTATCTAGAAGATACAACAAAGGGCCCATGTTTTGAGATAAGGAAGGGTAGATCACCTGCGGCTACCATCCTGGGCGAAACAGACTCGATTTGTGGAAACTAGTTAATTTTACCTAACAATCGATATCAGAGATGAGTAATGAGAAATAAAAACAGATCTTAAAATAACACCTTTGCCCTGCCCCTCCATTCTTCTTGGGCTTAATATCACCCTCAGTTCATCCATCTCCTCCCTGACAAGTGGTGCAGGGAGACAGTGAGTGGGGTTGTTTTCAGTTCATCTGATATTGTCTCCACCACTGCTTCTTCCTCCGGGGGAGGACTGACTTGTCACTCTTCCCCTGGGCTGTTGTGGGGTCCCTCTCACAGGAGACAATCTTCACACATTTTCTCCAACATGAGTTCTCTCAGGAGAGACAGTTCCTGATGAACTGCCCCAATGTGTCTCTCCATGAGGTGCAGTCTTTCAGGGGAAACTGCTCCAGCATGAGTCTCCCGCAGCGTCGTACAAGTCCTGCCAGCCAACCTGCTCCAGCGTGGGCTTCGTTCTCTCCATGGGCTACAGGTTCTGCCAGAAGCCTGCTCCAGCATGGGCTTCCCACGGGGTCACAGCCCCCTTCAGGCATCCACTTAGTCCAGTGTGGTGTTCTCCACAGGCCACAGATGGACATCTACACCCTGTTACCTTCATGGGCTGCAGGGGGACAGCCTGTTTCACCATGATCTTCACCACGACCTGAGGGACCCTCTGCTCCAGCACCAAGAGCACACCCTCCCACCCCTCTTCACCAACCTTGGTGTCTTCAGGTATTCTCACTCCTCTATATCTCTGCCAGTTGTTTTATGTGGTGGTTCTTTTTTTCCACTTTTCTTAAATACATCTTCACAGAGACGTTCCTATCCTATCACTGATGTGCTCAGCCTTGGCCAGTGATGAGTCTGCCTTTGGAGTTGGCTGGCATTGGCTCTATCAGACCTAGTGGAAGCTTCTAGCAGCTTCTTGCAGAAGTCACCCCTACAGCCCCCCACCACTGAAATCTGGCTAAGCAAGCCCAACGCAGACTTCTCTTACAATTTCTCTTTGGAATGTGAGACAAAATCCAGCTTCTGGATCTCATTGTGTTCACAACAGTCCCTGGACAGCCACGGAGAAGGAGTTGTCGAAGCCCATTCTTCCCAAGTCTAGGTAGCAAAGCTACTCTGTTGAGTTTCCCTGAAATGATGATCCGGCCATTGAAATGGAAGACATCATCTCCAGGAAACGCTATTGAAACTACTTCTGCCTGAAGAAAAATTTCACTTGGAAGGTCTGGACTGTACTCAGTCCAGACAGATGGAACAATTCATAAAAATAACATTGAAATACAGTGAATAACATGAATGATAGATCCATACCTGCACCAGCAACCTCAACTGTGACCAAAGTCAGTTATAGTTACTGGCACACCTTCACAAAAAGCCCTTAGGCTGTAAAAGAAACTCAGAAGTCATCTTTCCTGAGAACTGCACATCAGTTCATTCCCTCGGATCTGTAACCAAGAGGTAAAATTTTGGACACCACCTTCCCAATGGAAGCTTAAGCCTCCAGACTACCTTCTCTGGCAGCAGAACTAATTCAACTTTTCTAACATGGCTTTCTCAAATGCCCCTGAGCAGCAAATCCAAAGAAATACATTCTTAGGAAGAAGCTAAGCACTTAGAAATCAATAGGCGATAAACTATCTGCCTTATTTCCTCATATTTCTCACTCATTTCTTAAAACCACACCCTGTGTCTATGTTAGTGGTGACTTCACTTTGGAAAAGTCAACTAAGGACACACAAATGAGCAGACTGAATATTTTCCAAAGTATTTAGCAACACAAACATCAGCTAGCATAGTAGTGCTGTTTGAGATACAGTGGTCTCCAAATACATACAAACCAAGATTTATAAGAAGAAATAACTTTTTTTTTTAGACCAGCCAACAGCACTGAGAAAATAAATACAAGCTTTCTGGCACACTAGTTCAGCATCAGGTTTTACATAGGCAAAATAAACATCAATCAATGAATAAACAAAGAGTGATTAATTTCTCTAGGGGAATATAATGATGTTAATCAACTAGTCAGTTTGTGAATTGTTAGCACCTCTTGAGCGTTATGAAGAAAAACTGCTTGAGCCCATACAGTGAATGGGCCTTTTAAGTCAATGACTGTTAGTGTCTAACAGAGCTAACAACTTTTGTATTCCATTTTTTTCCCAGTTTCTTGTAAGCTTTTCTCTCTTCTGATAGATGAAGCATGTCAGAGCTAGAGACAAATAATCAGGCCATTGACTAGGTGCCAACTGAAGGTTCAGCTACCTGAACAGTATGTGGAAAACCACTACTCATGACATGAGAAATTTCTGAATGTGAGAGATAACAGTGTGAGAGGCTGGCAAAATTTGCAGATAGCCCCATGAAGGATGATTGATTTCACAAGTGGATAAGAGCAAGCTTGTTATGTGAGTTGTGTGTTATGTTTTGCAGGGTTAGCAATACCTGGGTAACCATGTCAATACCATAAAGGCTAATATTACCTAGGTAGTGATATTAGGAAAAAAAAAATAAATTAAAACTGGGACCAGTGAGGAAAAAGCTATAAGGTGCGGGTTTTTTAGATGGAATGATACTGGGGCAGAAAAAAGCAGGTAAAAGAAGGATAAAAAGGGGAAACAAGGTACAGGAAAACGATATTAAGATATGCAAATTATGTAATCAGGGCTGTCCAGGCATCTTTGATGGGCAGCCTTGCACTTGATCACAGCAGCTTCTTACAAGACACTCTCTTCTGGATGTCACATTTAATCTCTATGTACCAAAAAGCATACAAAGGAATAAAACTAGGAAAATAAGACAAATAGTAACATACCATAGGATTTGCCGTTGATGGAGCACTTGTTGAAACACATAATGTTCTGAGTGAGAGTTCCTGTTTTGTCTGAAAAGATGTATTTGATCTGCCCCAGCTCTTCATTGAGTGTAGTGGTACGGGCCTGAGCAGGTGTGTCTTTCGGCGGGTAATACATTTTACGGTCCCAGTCAATGTAGAAGCTGTTACCCAAGCGTATAATCTCTACACTGGTGGAACAGAAAGAGATGGAATATTCATTACTTTAAAGCACAAGATCTTTATCTTCAGCACCACCATTAGTGATTGCAATTAGAAGGCAACTTTGAAGGTAATGACAGGCTGTACTCATCTGGTTGTCCTCAGATGGCCTTCTAGCAATAAATGCTAGACCAGTTCCCACTGAAACTATCTGTTAGGTTTATAGCAAATACCTTTATTCATACAGCAACCTCTTATAAATGTATTTGAGAGGTTTTGGGAGGTTTTCAGGCAGGACCTGAGGGCTTCACTTGGTGCAGTTTTGAGGGTGGAGCTCAGATAGGATGGTTTCCTGCAGAGCTCTGTGCTGAGCCTGGTGCTGGGGTTGAGCACAGCCATGGCCCAAACAACTCAGAGCTCCAAAACCAGTGAGTCATTGCGTAACTCAGTACAACCAAGAAGACCCATCATCTCGCATGGGACATGAATTTCCACTTTGATGCTGGTGTGACATACTGGAGAGGAGCAGGATTAATTCCTCGTATTTATAGGCACAGAAGAGAGTCTCAGAAGTAAAGCTTTCAGAAGAGTTAGGTGCAATATTAAACCGTACAGGTCTACTCAGTCTACACCTCAGCCTCAAGGTTTTGAGAGCATGAAGGACACATTGCCTACTCTTTATTCCTGCTTGCCGATTTGCAACAGCCAATGCAGCATCACGTTCTCTGGGAAGCGGCAACATTCACCCTGCTTATATAGCACCAAGTGCTCTGGATCTTCAACCTAATTACATCTACTTACCCAGCAATCTACTCCTCACATAAGCCCTACAGCCACCTCAAAAAACATTCACTTTGTCTGATGGGTGGTGCAGGAGGGAGAGAGCAATATGATAACCTTAGTAGGATTCCACCCTTACTCTTACAGCATTCTAAACCTACACCTCCCCTTTAAATGCAAAATCATCCTCTCCTCTTCCAGGACTCATTGCTGTCCCCATGCTAACCCTGACAAAGACCTCTAAAGGCCGCAGAAATATGAAAAGCACGACTGTTGTTGTACCCACTAGGGGGGGTTGCATTTGTTTCTAGGGACAACGCTGTCCCCAGCTCAGGGCAAAAGCTAAACCTTCCCTAAGATGAAACATGAAAGGAGGCTCTGGGACATACCTGACATAGAGTGAAATTGGCACCACCGTGTTTAGAATGATCACGTATGACCAAAACATGAGGAAGCCGGAGTAGGAGGCAGAGTTGACGCCTTCTGCCCAGGGCAGATAGACTTGGAAGTAGTAGCCTTTGTCATATTCCCAGATGCCATTGCCAATGGCTAGGATAAAACACATCAGTGCTAAAAATGCAAAGATCTGCAAAAAAAAATCCACCAAAATATTGTGTTTTAGAAACAAGGAATTTATTATGTACAGGTTATTCAGAAAACCATAGTGACATTAGTTTGTACAGCTTGAATCACAAGAAAATGTTCCTAGGGGTGAAAGAAGAGAAAAAGCAAAGTTCTGACACTTTTACCTCAAGAACAAAATCATACAGTGCAGAGTCTGACAATTTGGAATCAGAAGACCTCAAACAGATGGGGATTTAAGTCTGAAGCAGACATCTAAGCCAGAGTGCTCATAGGCAGCTGGCTGCATTACATGAAAACTCCCTAGAGTTGAGCTGAGCTGCAGCTCCTCAAATACCTGTTTGCATACTTAGGAGTAAAAAACTACCTGGAGCACTTCACCTCGACACCTGATGGATATATCAGACTTTTACTTACTGTTTCTGAAAAACTACAAAAGATAACTTGTAACACAGAAAATCCAGCCCTGTGCAATTTAGAATTCCACACTGGATGCCGTTCTGATGGTTAAAGGAGAGTTAATCGCTGACTCAGAACTACTGATTGCCTTGGTACCTGCCATCGCAATCTGATTATATTTCCTTCGAGCAAACAGAAAGTAACACTAACGAGATGAGTATTCTTGGACTTTAGGGAAGCCTATTTCCTGAAGCCTAAAAGAAACCAGGGGAAGAGCAACTGGAAAGAGAATTTCAAAGTAGTACATCTTCATGAAAACTAGGACTTGCTCAGGAACACCACTGAATAGAAACAAAAACATTACATAGGTCATAATGCATTTCTGATTAAAAGAATAAAAAATATACAGCAATACAATTATTTGGAAAAGCATACAAAAAGAAAGGGAAGAAGGGAACTTAACAGAAATTAATATACACTGCAAGGAACTATACAACTATGAATATCGAAGAGTCATATAGAATATCAAGAAAAGAAAACAGTAAACTCATAAACAGATGTGGAAAAAGTGGACGTGTTCAACAGAGAGTCCTCCAGGAATGAAGGATGAAGGAAGCAGAAGGAAATATCTACCCCGCCTGATGTAGAAGATGGAAAGGATGGATTACGTTCTGTGACAAGGAATTCTGTATAGCTCTGTCTGCTAATAAGAAGTATTTTCAACCCAATGGGTTCAGGTAATTTAAAGATGAAAGCTTAGAGGGTCTACCTGAGAAATTCTCTTAAGCAGTAGGGTTAATTTTTAACAATGCTTTGAAAACTGGGAAGCTCTACTGTAGTAAAACCAGTTCTGCTGACACAGACTTCAAATACTTGAGTTAAAATAACTAATGTCTAACAAAAATGTGGAGATATGGAATCAATAGGCTACACAACAGAGCAATTAAAAACAAACTTTTGCAAGTATGATCATTAGGGAGGAAATATCAGTAAGTTGGGTCATCACATACAAGGCCTTCCAGTAACAACCACATTGAAAGAGTAATTAACCTTTTTAAATAGATGAGGTACAAACATAGAAACATTGCTGGTAAAGCTGACGTATATATTGCTGAGGTAACCTAGGAGAGGAAGAAGGATACTTATACGGAGCGATTTGCCCACTTGGTGAAAATTTCATGTCCAGCCAACTTGAGTTTTAGTACCAAGAATCTGCCAAAAGGTGACTGCAGTAAGTAAAGGTGCTGGGCTGGGTTTCAGGGGACACATTTATTTTCCACATCAGTAGTAGCTTTTCTATGTAATTGTGGGAAGCCCAACAAATTACTTCACTTGTGAAATGGAGACAATGTTTCTTGCTGGTAAGGAATGTGGTGCAATGTTTTTAAACCTCTGTGGCCTGCAGTAAAAACAGACTTCAATTTGTGCTGTTGTAATCATCAAGACTTACAGATATATGAGAAGCACAACCGAGGGACAGGAAATGTCCTTTATTAAACCAATAGCTATAGATACAGAAAAGAGACAAGACCATCTATTTTAGTAGATGTTTCAGTCAGTCAGGCAAAAGACACTACTTCTCTATGCAGACCTTGTGTGTCCTGAGAGAAATTAATTAGAAGAGCCAGCTGGCTCTTCTATCTTACCACTGTACTCTGAAGGATTCCTCACTGCCTCACAGGTTAAAAATTGTCAGTTTGCAGAATATCCATGTAGTAAACTCAATGTGTGATCCAGCAACAGAAATACACACGGGGCAAGATCGTGGCTGAACTTTCCCTTAGCACATCGGCTCCTGCCTACCACTGCACTTGTTTTATGTGCATTTTTTGCTTTATGTGCTTTGGCATGTCAAGACTGTGGTCCCTAACAGCTCAGCTTGTGTGCAGTACTTGTGTTCAGACAAAGTTTACGAACGTGCTGAATGCTTTGAGACAAATGCAAAAGATCGAGCTGCTTATGGCAGCCCCAGAAATTAATTTCTGTGCAGAGAAACGACTGTGTGCAGGGTGTTGTAATCATAACCACAGCTCTGCAAGAGAAGGATGTGAAAAAAGACCTGATCATAGGCTTGTGCATGCTCATGGATGTTCCCAGTGTGAATATCCTCCCTCCCTGCCTCCTGCCCATAGGGTGCCTGTGAAAGATCCTCTGCAGGACCGAGTAGGATTTTTGAAAAGAGGAGGTGAATTTTAACAAGCGTATCCTCTTGGACAGTGAATGCAAGTTGTCTCAGTTTCTTTGCTGGTAACTTAAGCTCTGTTCCAGCATTTGAGGCAATGTGTGGTTTAAGAGGTTAAGGTAACAGCCCTATTTCTCAGAAAATGTGCTCCCTCAAGCCTGCTAAAAAGCAAGTTTTGGAGGAAATAGCACTCCTGGAGCTGGTGGCTGTGTCCCCAGTGAGGGAACATTCACTTCTCTCTCAGATCCCTGAGAAACACTTCCAAATGTAAAAAAAAAAAAATAAAATCTATGGTTTCCATCTGGAAGGGTTCACTTCTGATTAACCCTTGTTAATCTGACAGACCAGAGCGACGTTTAACCAGGTCTCTGTGGGCTAGCCCTCCTTAAACACTGCTTTGTGCCTGGAAGTTTTATGGACAATTAAACACAAAATATCTTTACCAGTGTCAACAGGCAACAAGTTTCATTACACTTAAAATGAGCTATTTATAGCAAGCTGTGACTGCTTTGTATTTCCAAACTCAAGAGCACAACATACTGCTTCTTTTTCTAACCGTATTCTGTCACCTTTGACAATTCATTGAGCTGGAAGGACCTGCTGCCACATCCCCTTGGGTGTGCGGAGAGCCTGGTGCTTAGGGTAGGACAGAGCTTTAATTAGACACCAAAATGTTAGGTGCCTTAAAAATGGGTTAAGGAGAAAAACACATCCTTGGATCCATTAGTGCCCAAGAATCCAGGCAGAGGCTGATGCAATTGGCTGCAACTTGCTCCGTTTTTTAAAGCAGAGCCAGGAGGTAAATTAATCTTGTTTGTGTTCGTGAAAAGAGGCCAAGCAGTCTGAAAGCTTTGGGTGGGACCCTTGACCTGTGAAAGGAGATTTGGCAAATCTTAATGGTATGCTAAATTCGGAGTTCCCAGTTCAGTTTTTCTCTGCTCCATTCCTGTGCCCCGTTGATCCCTCACAGCCCATCCTCCTCTCCAGTTCGAGCACAGCATAGCAGAACATCTAGGAAAATATGAAGTTTTTCAAATACTTGCATAATTTTGAATGTAAGAGACTCATACCTTGTTTCTTTTTGCTGTGTCCTAAAGTGTACAGGTAAAAAAACTGAGGAAAACCAGCTGATGATGGTAAGATTTTCACTTGGCGTAAAGTGGTGTAAGCAAAGACTCAAGAGGGCTTGAAGATGACCCTGGAGTGGCTCTCTATGCTGTGACACTGCTTTACCCCAAATACACACATAGTGACACTCGGAACACTGCTTCACAGTTCTGGGAGTTGGGCTGACTGTTGTTGCTTTGGCACAATTTCAGTCTCACAGAGGCACACGTGGCTCTGTCCACTAACATCTCTCTTCTCTGGATCCAGCTAAAGAGCTTTTGGGATCCTGAAAAGAAGCAGGGGGCTGTGATGAAATGGAAAGTTGGAGAGTGGTGCCATCCTGGAGATGTTCGTGCTGTAAGCCGCAGGGCTGTGGAAGCATGAAGTCATAGAGGGCAAGGGAGAGCTCAGGATAGCCTTGCTGTGATGCTGCTGTTGGGTGCCTTCTCCAGGACTTGGTCCAGCACCTGGACCATGGTCATGCAGCATGCATGAAAAGACATGACGAACTTGTATCCAAAGGGAAATAAAAGTCTGAAACTAAAGAGCTTTACTTGAAGCAATACTGAGCGAAGCAGTGTCAGAGTCTTCCTCCCCTGAGTGGCTTTTAACTTGGGAGGCAAAATTTTGGGAGTCTGTAAAAGAATAATTACCTCTGCCTGGAAGTATTTGCCATTTGTTAAAACCACTTAACCCTCAAATCAGGTCTGTTTTCTAGTTTGAGGGGAATGTCTGCCATATATCATTAGTGTTCTCAAATTTCCCAGCTGCTAAAAACACCAGTTTCTGAGTATTAATGAAACCATGTCTAATATTTTACCCTAATGTGTTAAGATGGAAACTGACGTCATGTAAGTTAACAAACTTCATTACCAAGTCCTGTGCAGATACCACTAGAGATGCCAAGAAATCAGGAGAAAGAGGGAGAACTGCTAATGCTTATTTAAATAGAAGATGACAAAACTACTGAGGAATAAAGGCATTTGCAGTCTTCAAAGTGATTCTTACCAAAAAAATATGCAGAGCAAGGGAGAGGAGAACAAATTAAAAGCTCAGAAGAAAGGTCCTTAGTGCTGTCAATGTAATGGCCTTGCTTTGCAAGATGGGCTGGCAGAGGCGCTGCAGAACTCAGGCTGCTAATAAATTATTACGTAATTTTTCTTTTTATCATTAGTCACTTCTGATATTCCTTCTTTTGTGTGGATAAAGAGGTGGAGCATCTGGAAGTGATGACTACATCTGAAGAAATGAAGACACGTTAATCAGACTTACCACCAACACAAGGACATTCATGAGCCTGTCAATGCTCGTCCGTTTAAAAGTTGTTTTTCCACTGTTCTGCATTAGTTTGGTGTCTGGCCCTGGAGATGAAACACGCTCATGAAATTTCAGTAATAAAGATTAGTCCTTGTACAGCTGACTCCCTCTGAGGCCCCACTGTGCTTTACAGCATAAACACCCATTACAGTTTTCTTGTAGGTACATACGAGCAGTTTACAGAATCGGGCAAATTTAGGCAGAAAAAGGCTAAGTCACTTGCCCTGGATAATATGGTGACAGCCACACCAAGCCATTAATTCTGAATATCGACCCTGCTCTCTTCTTTCAACAGTTGGTCCTCTCAGGTTTAACTACTTTTCACAGCATACCTGATACTGCTGTGTTATTACTGACATATTATACATCATCTCACATGTCTACATCAGTATAGAAACAACAGAAGGTCTATGCCCGTAAAAAGCATAGATCTAATGGTTTACAAGAATATTATTGATGAACCCAGTATTCTAATAGGGATTGAAATCGCGTAGAAATTATGTGGAATTTTTAATTGAATACACTTAAGAATGAAAAATTTTGAACAAGCCTGGCAAGAGGAAGACTCCAATTGACCCAGTGTGGGCCAGTAAAGGTGGATTTAATTCAGCTTTATCCCTAAACCAGTTTAATTCTTCTGTTCTTTCTTACTGACTCATCAAGACTTCTTTCGTGTACTTCGCTGCATGCCTTTCTGAAATAAAAAGTGACTTTAGCTTACTGAGGCACTTAATCAAGATGGAATTGGATGTTTTCATGAAGCATTTGCAATCTACTTTTCTCCTACAGACCACTATAAAAAAATCTCAAGTTAAAATCCCTTTTAATATGCATAGTTTCTAGCCTAGAGTTAAGCCAAGGGACTTAATTTCCAAAGACAAAAATATTTGGTTCCTTTGTGTGTACCAGGTGTGATGTACTTCCACACTAGTGCCACTGTGCTCTGCAATTTGAGCGTCAATTTTTCTACCTACCAGCATAAATAACTAGACCAAAGCACCATTCTGTGTTCCTAATAGTACAGCCTCTCAGCAACATTTTCTCATTGTCCAGGGCATATTTCTCTCCTTGAAGAGTAAGAGTTCCTGTGAACTTGTCCAGTTTGTTATTTGGTGCCTCGCATTTGATTTCACCTGTAAAAGGAAGATAAAAACAAAATGGAAATCTTGTTCCAGAAAGGTGCTGGTCAATGCTGCATTCTCAGCTCTTCCCAAGACAGGGAATATTTCACACTGTAGCTGCAGTCCACTCCTGACCCCATCGTTGCCATCCTGTATCATATATTTACTGATGTTCTGGGATATTGATCCTTTCCCATATTCATGTCACAATGAACAACAACGAACTTGGACTTATCCTATTCTTTGAACACGGCAGTTTTTTACTGGCAGAGTACAAAACAAAGTTCCCATAGCTTTTATGTAGGTGAGAAAAAATGTTGAACCAGCAACATACTTTTAATCATTTCACAGCAAGTTCACAGAGGTAGGATGTCACCGGATAACTTAGATAAAAGTGCTGACCTCACATAATTCCTATTACATTTTCTTTAAAATTGCAGGAACCCAAGTGAGAAAAATCATAGCCTGAAGGCTGCAAAAAAAAGTAATTAACTGTGGTGTCTTTTTTCAACGTTTTTTAATTTCATCTGTTTTATAACTTAAGCCCCAGTGGCACAAGAAAAAAGATGCTGCTACCTTCTTTGGCCATGTGGCTGATTCTGTAAGTGATTGAAAAGCCTGTTTCTATTTCCACACTTTATTTCTTGTAATAAAATGTGTTCACACAAAACTGTAAACACAGATACTTCAGTATAAAAATGATTTTAAATTAACATTTGCTCCTGACGACTAAGATTTAAAGTAGAGCCCTGCAAATATCTTGAAAAGAACTGGAAAATACAAATATGCCTTACTGAAAGGGAATCCAAGAATTCAGTCTGTTCAGTTTATCAGTACGAACATTAAAGTTATTTTGATCACAGGCTGCAAGTATCTACATAAGGATGAGAATTTGCAGAGAATACAGCTCTTCCAGCTATTCTCAGACAAAACACTTCAGGCTCAAGAAGCTGGAAACAAAATCCAGAAAAGTTCAGAAGAAGAGTAAAACTTTAAGTATTGTGGCAGTCTCCACCATGGCAAATTTTAAAATCAAGAATGGATCTCATAGAAAAGTAGTTAATCCCTAGGGCAGGCCAGTCACCAGACTTGATGCACGAAGTGATTAGGAAATTATGTGACATATGTGACATCAGAGCTCATACTAACAACTGTGCTGGTTTTCTGGTTTATCATCTAGCAAATCCCAGAATAATCAGACATGTAGTCCCATAATTTCTAAAAGTCTGCAGTTACCAGACATGTCTCACTGCAGCCCTTACAGCCCCTTGGAAAACACAAATTAAACAGAGGCTTTGCAGGGCAACCTGAAGCACAGCACAGTGAGACTTGATCCCCCAGCCCAGGAAGACTCGACTAGATCCTCCACCAGCACCTCTCCTTGTGCCAGCTGAGGGACAACGCTCATGTGAGAACCTTGTATGCCAGCATTCACATCTGCTTTCCAACGAATGAGTCGGTCTGCCTTACTGATCTGCTGATTTTGAGATAGAAGAGATTCATCTGATTTAGACCAATCGCGAAAAAAAGTCAGAAGCTCTAGGGATTCACCCAATATGCCAACACTGACCCCAGTAACTCCGCACCTGAAGACACCTCAGGAAGGCTCCAGTCTCCTCCTCCCATTAAGAGCAAGGGGACAACTGAATGCCTTTCACCTGAAAGAGTTAAATACCGGCCAAGGCTGCACGTGATCAGCAGTAGGTAACTGAAAAGTATTGTTTCCTTTCACATCTCCCAGTTCCCCAAATCAAATAAAGAAGTTCAGCGTTTTGCAACCATCTGCCTTATCTGAACCATCGCCATGTCAACAAACTTCATAACTCACATTAAGAATTCCACTGAGTGCCTGTATTAGCTGCTCAACCCTTTCCTCTCTTCCTGTCTTAAGAAGTAATTAGATAAAGAGTTACATAAATATTTAAATACTTCTACAGAGGTTTGCTGGGGAAATGCAAGGTTGACTCCTGTTCCAGGCACTCTTCCCAGTATTCTGCCAAATATAAACCATCCTGGGAAACATTTAATTCATTCTAAGTATTGCAAAGAGGCCACTTTTATTTACAGTATAACTAAAATAGAGATATAAAGGACAAGTAAATATTTGATTTTAAAAAGAGGATTTTCTTCCAAAACATTTTAAAGTATTTTTTCAATTATACAGTTTCAAGTATGCATCATTACACAGAAAATCCTTTGAAAATTACTTAGGATGAAGATTTTGGTTATTAATTGATACATATTGTAGCCTCTTCAGGAAAATAATTAAGGCATGCCACTCTGACTATTAACATAAAGCATCTAACTGCACCTGTAAAAACATATTTCTCAAGATCTAAAGCACTGAGAACCTCAGTCATCTCTTAGAGAAATCCTGTTGTACTGAGCTGACACTCAGCTAAGACCACACACACTATTTCATAAAATCTCAGTGAAGTAAGCAGAGCAGAGTCTATGCCTTTGGATGACTCTACCAGAGATAGTCCCAGCTGTGCTACCTACTGCCATGTCACCACTCTTTGTCCAGGAATCATCTATTTACTGTGTTATTTCAAAAAGAATTTTTTAAAGACTATTTTTGAAATTTTTAAAAATTCTTTTTGAATTTTTTAAAAACTCTTTTTCTTCTTTATCTAAAAATATTTCCTCAGAGCTTGCAGTCCTTGAGACGTGCCAAGGATAGCAACATTCAATCCATCCCTTTCCATATTGACTCTTCCTATGATTCTGCCCTCCTAGCTAAGCCATCAGGGCACTGCGGAGCATAGCTAACACTGCTTTGTCTGTTTCTTCATCCTCTCTCTGCTGACAGATGATGTGTGAGCATGGAGTATTCTAGTTTTGGCAGGTCTGGCTCCTTTCTCTATATGTGCTACTGTATAATACGTTGTACCCAGTGACAGGAAACACAAAATCACAGAGTTGTTGTAGCTGGAAAAGACCTCTGAGATCATTAAGTCCAGCCTATGACTTGTGGGAATGGGTCAAAGCTGCACCAGGAGAGGTTTAAACTGGACATTAGGAAGCATTTGTTTGCCAGAAGGGTGGTCGAACCCTGGAACAGGCTTCCTAGAGAGGTGTTCAGTGCCCCAAGCCTATCAGTGTTTAAGAGGCATTTGGACAATGCTCTTAACAACATACTTTAACTTTTGATCAGCCCTGAAGTGGTCAGGCAGATGATCGTTGTAGGCCCCTTCCAACTGAAATCCATTCTATTCTATTCTATTGATCGTTGTAGGCCCCTTCCAACTGAAATCCATTCTATTCTATTCTATTCTATTCTGTTCTGTTCTGTTCTGTTCTGTCCTCTCCTGTCCTCTCCTGTCTTGTCCTGTCCTGTTCCATCCTATTCTAGTCCATTCTATTCTACTCTATATTTCATATACAAAACAGTGCTAAGAAAGGATATGTTGCCTGTTAACCACATCCACATTGCTTGTCATTAAATGTCTTAAAATGCAGTCTTTACTGCAGGATAGAAATGCTGGGAGAGCAAGGCTTCAGGAAGGGAAGTAGTCACCTGTCTTGTGTGCACAGAGTTAATCCTTAGATCTGCACCATGCCTGGAAATTGCTGCTTCTCAGAAGCTCAGTGTAATCGATGCATCAGCATTGCTGCATCAATGTAAAAGAGCAGCATGAAAATATTTTGAGATCTGGACTCCGATCAGGAAGAAGGCGACAGCCTGGAAGGAAGACTCCCAGGCACCCTCCAGACTCTGGGGTCTGGGCAAATCCTCCAGAAAGTAGATTTTCCATGTAGACTCACCATTGAACTCTGTCAGTTTCTGAAGATCTTCTCCGAGCTCTGCAGTGACTGTCAGTGCCTGCTTCACCTTCAGGTTTGTTTCACTGTAACAAATAACACCAGAGAAAAACAGGAACTGAAAATTCAATCTGAACTGAAAGCTGTCCCTGAAAATCACTTCTGTTCTTGAGCACAGTCTTTTCCCTTAGACATCTGATGGATCATGCCATTGTCGGCCTTTTTTTTCCCTGGAAAGGCAGAGAAATTCCAGACACGGTACCATGGTACCAAAGACAAGGCAGAGGAGATCTGGACATGGCACCATGGTGCGACAATACCAAAGAGAGGTAAGGTGGCTCTGTCTTCTCATTTTCACTGCAAAGTGCAAAACCAGGCATCTCAGCAACCTGAGCAGCTCACTGTCTCTCTTGCCACTTAGACCACACTGATCTTTGAGGTATCTGAGCGTAGAGGAGAGCTCTGGATCTTCTGCCATGGTGTTGTGGTCCTGAAGTGCACTCAAACCCTGGGACTAGCTAGATGAGGAGTTTGAAATGTCAAGGAAACACTGCATTTTTTCAGAGTCTCCTGGCACGTGCATGCACAGGAACTACCAGCTTATTTTCAGCAGAAATCAGGCTGGGAAAGTCCAGAGGGCTGTCTGTAGGGTACTGGGAGAGATGCAATTTCTTGGTCTCTCTGATCTTGCTGAGGCTTTCAAGCTGATGCCAGCTCCGGGCAATGCAGAAGAGGTAATGGAAATTGGGTCATAAAGGTGAGGCCAGATAAAGTTTATTCCAATTTATACAAATTAGTTGCAGCCCTCTGACTTGTGGTCAATTGTGTCTTGGAGTGAACAACGTTTGGAAGCCTTTGCAGTGTGTGGCGTGTGTATTAATGTTATGGTGTAGCAGTCCAAAGGAGATTATTGGAGGTTTTCCTTGTGATTATCTCACACAGATAATCTGGCTAAGAGAAAAGACTAAGGGAGACACGAGAAGCAGAAAGCTTCTGCCAGTGACCTGGAATAGCACAAGAACACAGTTCAAACTAACTCTCAGCGTTAGGAGAACTGTCAGTAAAAATAAAAGGAAAAAGTCCCCTCTACACATGATATTTGCATGGAAAGAGGCAAAAAATATCCACCAGAAGATGTTCTTTTCAAGATATCTACCCAAAGTCTATTCTATTTACTAGGAAGCTGTTGCTACAAGAGATATTACAGGTAAGGTCTCGTCATGCTGGGTCAGCAGAGGAGACCTGGCCTCATGCTGGCAGTGGTGATTGCAGCTGCGGGCCAGGTTCACTTACCCATCCAGTTCCGCTGTCTCGATGTACGTCAGGCTGTGTGGCTCGCTGCTGGAGAGCAACAGTAGGTCGGCCTGAACATGAACAGACAGACTTGGCGTGAGTCCACGCGGTCAGAGAGCATGGTACCACATGGTACCACAATGCTATGTGTGGTTTCTGCGCGCGGCCAGTCTCTGAGGTAGTTATCATCACTATTGACTCAACTACAGAGATTAGCTGTGAGCAGGATGGAGAGAAGAATGTACTCACTGTCACAAAGTTGTTGTTTTCTAGTTTTATTATATCCCCCACTTGGACATTCATCCATTTTTCATCCTTTAACCTGCAAGAAAACTCCTAGTAAGTAAGCACATAAAGCAAATGGCCCTTGCGAAAGTAGGATGTTCAGCTCTGCTCTCTAAGCCAGACTGTAGGTGTCACCAGGACTTGGGCTGTTGATAAGGTGGAGCAGAGTCTGCCATGATGTGGCCTGACCCATGCTAAGCTAAGGGAACACCACAATATTAAAAAAAAAAGGTAAAAAAATAACAGTGGTTGGGGTGACCCATGCAGGCTTGAGAATAAGCCCCGCAATAATTTCACAGCCTGTGTCCACTATTCTTCTCTCTGGACTGACTAATACCTTCCTCCTCTTCAAGGCCTCAACTGCCTCAGGGGAAAAAAAAAAAAATCTCTACTTCGTGTAACAGAGTTACCAAACACCTGGGAAAATTTCCAGTTGTATTAGTTTTTCTAAGTGGTACCGAGGGCCAGAGCAACAGATGGGGCTGTCAGGAAGGTCCATGCAGGTGCTCTGGCTGTGCATATGCCTGACTAAGCTTAAGTCTGTGTGGCCTTGAAGGCATCAGGCAAGATGTGCACGTGGACAGACAGACAAACTGCTCATGTCAACGTAACCAAGTCATGACAGGTGTAAAGGCAGAATTTAGAGGTGAGAGATGTCAAGAGCTAAATCAAAAAGAGACTGGGCATTCAAGCTTGGGTTCAGCTCAGCCTTGATTTTTCAGTGTTGGTTGGAGTTGAGCAGGACCTATGGTTTCTGGGTTTTGATCAAAGGTAAAATATTAGAAAATTTCTATTTCATTCTATGCTTCCTAGACACAGTAACTAATACACAGTAAACTAAGAAATTAGTTTACTTAGCAGAAAGTACAAAAAGCATATTCCTATTCTTCAGCTTCTAGTTATATTTTTAAATGTTTGGTCATCTGTTCAAGTTTACACAACCTATATGCTATTTATATTACAGAAAAAAATCATTAGAGACTTCACAGCTGTCTACAGCTGTGTCCTACACACAGTTGGACTCCATGGAGCTGCAAATAAACATCACATGTGTGTGCCACACAAGCCAAAGCCTCTGCTATTTCTTTTTTTTTTTCTCTTTTTTTTCAGCAAAGAACAGTGCTAGGAGTACAACTTCCAAAGCACGCACTGAAAAAATTTTAAGTACATTTAATTCAGAATTGCTACACATGCTCAAAGTGTTATGACACATATGAGGAAGTTTTTCCTGCTTCTGAATTTAAATAACTTGTTGATAATACCTATTTTTGCTTAATGCAGAAATAAATGCTGTAGACGTCAACGGACATGGGAAGACAGCCTTGGTTGTCACTTCTAGGGCAAGGAGTAAAATCATACAGAACTCTCAAAGTATCATTTATTTAAATATGTATATTTCCAGGAACTGAAATAGTTTACTTTTTGTCAGTGCAAGGTTACAGCCATAATGACTGCACTGATTGTAGTACCGTGTCTTGGGTTCATTAATCAGACAGTCCATGGTGAACTAATGATGTGAAAGGCAATTAAATTTTAAATTGCTAAGTTGTCCTTGGGAATCACACAGGAAAAAAAATATTATTAATAGAATGCTCTTCCCAGCAAGCAAAAGAAAAAGGACTTACATGCCATTGATGAGGACCTGGACTGGGCGGTTGTTGACGTGTTTGTCGCTTTTGTGTCGATTCTGAAAATATATTATCAGTATGTTAAAACACATTTCCAGGAAAACAAGCACATGAGAGCTGTATGCAGTTCATTAACACTTCAGGCTGAATGGGTCTGGCAGGCTAGAGTCACATCTGAGTCATTGTCGAACCCATGTTTTCACTAGTAACAGAGGACATAACTGAACTACAAAGAGCAACAGGCAACACGGGGCTTGCTCTTGAAGGGAAGAAGGATGGTAGGGCATTACATGTCAATTAGCACAGTCCTGACTCAACTGGTGGAGGTCCTGCCTGCCACACAATTGCAAGCTAAGTACCCAGGGAAATCCATTGCTCTGCTTTGATATGGAAAGTGGCCACAGATGTTCTGGCGTTGCTCCCTGAGAGAGCTCCTCCCCACCTTTCACCTGCCCGCTTGTGAAGTCGCACTGAGTCTCCGTAGAGCATCAAGAGAAATTAAATAACAAGATAAAAACAGATGCCATTTCAGAGAAAGTCAATGGAGCTACTGGGCTGCTCAACAATTTGGAAATTCTAGCTCCTTTTTAGGTAATAATCCATAGATTTGGTGATCTAATCTCAGGCCCCATCTTGACCACAGACCAGTTCTTCAACTGCCTGCCACAGGCTGTGTTTATTTTAAGCAATTTGCTTTAGTCACTATGCTAAGAATCACAGGCAAACTCCAAGGTACAGGTCAGCAAGACAGGTCTTACAAAATCATCGATAGCATCCTTGACTCCCGATACAGCCAGCACCAGCACTAGCGGCACCACCGTTGTAAACCACGACAGCGAGGAAACCTGAGGAATCAACTGTAGGAATAAAAAATCTGAGTTGAGGAACTTCCTGCCAGTTCACCAGATGGACAGAAACAAAACATTATTATCTGTGGAAGCTGTAGTGGACATTTTTCTGTGACACTGAGTACCTCATGTCACGAGTGATTGCAGAGCGACTGGCATGGCACAGGCACTGCTCTAGCAGCGAGGCTGCCATTGTTTTTCTCATTCTCCTCCCCAAACCAAAGGTGTTGGAAGTTATAAAGTGCCAGATTTTCACTACTGACGACAGCCGTGTGCTATCAGCCGTTCTGGCCTCTGCCCCTATTGACAGCATCTGGATTATTTGGTTATTGTTAACAGTAGAACCAAATGCTCTCTAACTATGAATAGCAGAAAGTCTCTATCCTCCACATGGGCTGATAAAAATGAAAGGTAGCACTGTTTTAATGTTGAGCTGCCTGTGATGAGAGGTGAGTTATTTGATTTTTTTTCTAATTATCAAGTTTTTAAAGCTGAATGCACCATTTATATGGCCATTGAGAGCGGTGTTAGGATTTAGCATCCAAATCCCACTGAAACTCCTCTGATAGTCTTTTCTGATAATGAAAATGTCTTCTTCCTAAGCAGAAATATTTATAAGAGTATAATGAAATGATATTTATCTGCCTCTAATTCAGGCTTTGAAGACTTCTCCCTGCCTAGACAGGTCATCCACTGTGTGGATAAAGACAGAATAAAGACAGAAACGCAGCTCTATCACTTCTGTGTGACCCCACAAATACGGGACAGCCAGGGAACCCACACTTTGCTTATGAAACAAGGTGTTATTTAGGATATAAACACCGAGCTGTCAGGAAGTGCAGTGGGTTGTTTTTTCTTGTTGTTTGTAACATTAGGACTGCAAAGTCCCCAGTGGATTTCTCTGGAGAGGTGGCACATAGTGAGAGGACCCAAGAATTGAAGGCAACTCTGTCATGCCTTCTGTGAAGCAGAGATGGTTGTCTCAGCCCAACGCAGCTCTCCCCTTTATCTGAAAGAACGTGACTAATGATGGAAGCAATGTCGTACCACCATCACTGTGTCCGTCAGAGTGGATCTCACCAGTATCAGCTCTGTGTGTGACACTAAAGCAGCTGCTGGTCTTTGGGATTACTCCTTCTGCTGCACTGTCACAACCCAGATCCTACAGCCAGGAGGAGTGAAGTTTAGAGGCAAACACAGCCCTGCTCAGCTGTGGAGGCTGCAGAGACACGTAACTGCTACCTTCTCACCTAACTGGGAATATGCATGTCCTGCTGGGACATGGAGAGGCAGATGCCCCACAGGCCATGCATCACATCCTCTCCTGATGAAGGAAGAGATACTCCCAGTGCTACAGGGATGGAGCAAGTGGGCAGAAGAGCAAAAAAAATTAATGGAGGAACGTGAATATTAAAGACTAATGGCTGTCCTCTTTAGCCGACCTTGATGGAGGTGGCAGGAAAAGCTGCATACTTTTATATACAGTAGCTCCTAAATAGTTCAGCAGAAGACACAGTGGAATAATTTCAGGCAAATAGTTTGAAATGCTATGAATTTGATAGACAAATAGCTAGAGTGCGGTACAACAATACAGGCACAGTGTTGTTAGCTTAGCTGAAAAGGCACTTTCACTAGTGTCTTGAAAAATATACATGGGCTGAAATTTCCCAGATTCATTCTCTGTAAATAAGCAAAGAAGTCTGTGTGTGGTTTGCTACAGGCTTCACAAAATTTTACCTGTGCTTTTTTTCGAGTTGAAATTGAAAAACAGCACTTGAAAAAGGTAATTTTGCAAATTTGTGGGCACTGAAAAGGCCAAATCTAAAACATTGTACTTGAAACATAATCAAAATTATACCCTGTTTTTTTGTTAATGTGTGTTCCAGTAGGACTCAAGAACAACAGAGTACACTGCATTTATCCATATTCTAGCAAAGTGCAAAGGGGCAGAAATCCTGATACCAATTTTTCCGGTGCATTTGGCTTTCAGAGCAGTATTATCAGCAGCGATGGGTGAAGTGCAACACAAACCCACAAGGTTCGGTGGAGTGGCCAGAGTCTGACACTCATGTTAGACACCTTCCTCACTCTGCTGAGCAGGGACCAGCAATATTCAGCTCTATGCAAACTAGTCCCAACCTTGTGCCTTCCTGATGTTAACTCCTTCCTTCCCAGGGAAGCCATACAGGTTACAAATTTGCCTTTCCTCTTGTGGTCTCCATTGAGACCGCCAATGGAATTTGCCTTTAAAGCTATGGGTAAGAAACAACTTTCTTTTGTACTACAGGAGGAATAAGTAATGCAAACCCTAGGACAGCTGGGAGCGTTTGGATGTAGACACAAAGGGGTAGTAGGACAGGGCATGAAAAAGGCATACACTTTGTTGAAAACTTTAATTAAATTTTTTCTCTTCGTTTAGTTCAAACCCTCATACCCAAAGGTAAGAGAAGAAATTGCTTTTTTTTCTGCCCTACTTTCTGTCTGCTTTAAGGTTTTACTACAATGCTAATTCATAGCTTGTACTTTATAACAACTGTCAATACATAGATCGGCTTTGATAACAGACAGAGCAATCTGCTAGAAACAGCACAGTGAATCCATACCTGCAAAATCAGCAAGAAAAGAAAGTAAGCATTGGCTATCCGCTGAAACTGTTCAAACAAGTTGAGAGGCAGGAAAGTGAAGAAGTTGTATTTCGATGTTTTAATTGAATTGTTCTGTAGGGGGGAAAAAAAAGGAAAATAAATAGGACTGGTAAAACAGGAAAAAAAATTAGATCACAACCCATTTCAACTGTGGTTTTACTTGCTTATATTTAGCAATAGCATTGTTTCCAACAGAAGCTTAAAAAACATTTCCTTTTTCCCCCCACAATCATGCCAAGCCTGGATAAACAGACAGAATTCCTCTTGGAAAATGAAGAAAACATCATCCTCAGTTTATGCCAGTGCAACTGCAGGTAGATAAAGACACATTTAGTAGCTCAAAAAGAAAAGATGCATCTTCCTTTTATCATTAGTCTTTCTAATAACACAATGCACAAATAGAATTAAAAACGGTAACCAGATTGCAACAATTTTGTTGGCAACATCCACACAGCTGTGTTGAAAAACACAGACTAGGTCAACTGTCTATGACTTGTCAGAGACCCTGAAACTCCGTTTGGGTGGACAACCCACAGGATCTATGGGTCCTGCTGGGAGCACAATATGACATTAATTTCAGCTGATTCAGCAGCCTCTCAACTCAGGAATTCAGAGAAGTGGCTTGTTTCTATTCCACAAAGATCACTTGAATGCAGTGTTGTGTAAACAGACACTAATATGAGAAGTCACCATTTCAGTAAGCGAGTTGCAGTTTGTTCTCTATTTCCAGTTTCCTTTTCTAAGTGCAGACGGCTCTTCCAGACACCAGCAATGGCTGCTCCGCTATCTGTCTTCTTCAAACCGGAGGAAGACCCAGGCTCGAGAATACAGAATTGGGTATTTTATTACCCAAAGATAAGATCACTCTGGTCAAATTCTGTCCACCTCATATTCAGACTCAATCTATTATACTGAGCCCACCAGCTTGGCCTGTACTTTCAGCTTTCAGGTGTGCTAGGTTTTCCCTTCACATGGAGTTTATTAAGCACTTATCCAGGTTTAGTCGTGGATGCACACATGCCATCTGTTGCCGGCACATCTAAAATTTCCCTCTTAGAAGCTCTATAGGAAATGCCTGTTGACCTCCTGCCAGGGAACCTAAGGTGTAACAGCACAAGGAAGCAGGTATTACACAGTGTATGTTCATTCAGTGGTAAATTTGCTGGTTCAACGGAAGAGAAAGTGGTGACTGTAGTATTGTAATAGCCTTTAGATATTGTTAAGCTGATGGGAGAACAGGAGCTACTAAGTATGAATCACAGTCCACTTCCAGTACATGCATTAAGCCAGGATCTCAGCATCTAAACTGACACACAGCAGCATGTTTCCACCATTCAGATAATTCAGCTTGCCCCAGGAAGGTGTGTGTGGAAAGCTATTCCATTTTAGGCAGTTACTGGATTTTGCTATGTCCACAGAGAAAGTACAGCAACATTCTTCAGCATTAATTTCATGTTTTATCCCTTGTACAAGCCCATAAATCAGTGTCTGAAAATGCAGAGATGGAAACACCCTTTGTGGAAGACCTAGTCAAATCCTCCCATCAATTGCACTCAGCAAGAAAATATGTTTATCAATGATCATCATATAAACAATATGGCCTGTTTCATAGAATCATAGAATCATAGAATGGCCTAGGCTGGAAGGGACCTTAGAGATCATCTAGTCCAACCTCCCTGTCATGGGCAGGGACGCCTCTCAACTAGATCAGGCTACTCAAGGCTCTGTCCAACCTGGCCTTGAACACCTCCAGGGAGGGGGCAGCCACAACGTCTCTGGGCAATTTA